TATATATGTTGAAGAGGGTGGGGCTTAAACTGCATTCCTGTCTCACCCCACGGCCCTGTGGAAAGAAATGTGTGTGTTTTTTTGCAAATTTTAACCACACACTTGTTGTTTGTGTACATGGATTTTATAATGTCGTATGTTTTTCCCCCAACCCCACTTTCCATCAATTTGTATAGCAGACCCTCATGCCAAATTGAGTCAAAAGCTTTTTTGAAATCAACAAAGCATGAGAAGACTTTGCCTCTGTTTTGGTCTCTCTCTCTCTCTCCCTCTCTCTCCTCTCTCTCCTCTCTCTCCTCTCGCTCTCTCTCTAATTTCAATTTAAGGGCTTTATTGGCATGGGAAACGTGTGTTAACATTGCCAAAGCAAGTGAAGTAGATAGTAAACAAAAGTGAAATAAACAATAAATATTAACAGTAAACATTACACTCAGAAGTTTCAAAAGAATAAAGACATTTCAAATGTCATATCTCTCTCTCTGCCCATCTTTTTATTTAACTAGGCAATTAAGTTAAGAACAAATTCTTATTTACAATGACGGCCTACACCGGCCAAACCCGGACGACGCCGGGCCAATTGTGCGCTGCCCTATGGGACTCCCAATCACGGCCGGTTGTGATACAGCCTGGAATCGAACCGGGGGTCTGTAGTGACTCCTCAAGCACTGAGATGCAGTGCCTTAGACCGCTGCGCCACTCGGGAGCCCACACTGTCTCTGCCCATCTCTCTGTCTCTCTCTGCCCATCTCTCTGTCTCTCTCTGCCCATCTCTCTCTATCTCTCTCTCTCTGCCCATCTCTCTCTATCTCTCTCGCTCTGCCCATGTCTCTGTCTCTCTCTCTGCCCATGTCTCTGTCTCTCGCTCTGCCCATGTCTCTGTCTCTCGCTCTGCCCATGTCTCTGTCTCTCTCTCTGCCCATGTCTCTGTCTCTCGCTCTGCCCATGTCTCTGTCTCTCTCTCTGCCCATGTCTCTGTCTCTCGCTCTGCCCATGTCTCTGTCTCTCGCTCTGCCCATGTCTCTGTCTGTCTCTCTGCCCATGTCTCTGTCTCTCTGTCCATCACTCTCTCTCTGCCCATCTCTCTGTCTCTCTCTCTGCCCATCTCTCTGTCTCTCTCTCTGCCCATGTCTCTGTCTCTCGCTCTGCCCATGTCTCTGTCTCTCTCTCTGCCCATCTCTCTGTCTCTCTCTGCCCATGTCTCTGTCTCTCTCTCTCTCTGCCCATGTCTCTGTCTCTCTCTCTGCCCATGTCTCTGTCTCTCTCTCGCTCTGCCCATGTCTCTGTCTCTCGCTCTGCCCATGTCTCTGTCTCTCTCTCTGCCCATGTCTCTGTCTCTCGCTCTGCCCATGTCTCTGTCTCTCTCTCTGCCCATCTCTCTGTCTCTCTCTCTGCCCATCTCTCTGTCTCTCTCTCTGCCCATGTCTCTGTCTCTCTCTCTGCCCATGTCTCTGTCTCTCTCTCTGCCCATGTCTCTGTCTCTCTCTCTGTCCATCTCTCTCTCTCTATGCCCATCTCTCTGTCTCTCTCTGCCCATCTCTCTGTCTCTCTCTCTCTCTGCCCATGTCTCTGTCTCTCTCTCTCTCTGCCTATGTCTCTGTCTCTCTCTCTCTCTGCCTATGTCTCTGTCTCTCTCTCTGCCTATGTCTCTGTCTCTCTCTCTCTCTGCCCATGTCTCTGTCTCTCTCTCTCTCTGCCCATCTCTCTCTCTCTCTGCCCATGTCTGTCTCTCTCTGCCCGTCTCTCTCTTTCTGCCTGCTCTCTTTTTTCTCTCTGCTGATGTCTCGTCCTCTCTGCAGTCTCTCTCTCCCTCGTCCTCTCTGCGGTCTCTCTCTCTCCCTCTTCCTCTCTGCGGTCTCTCCCTCCCTCTTCCTCTCTGCAGTTTCTCTCTCCCTCGTCCTCTCTGCAGTCTCTCCCTCGTCCTCTCTGGGGTCTCTCTCCCTCTTCCTCTTCCCTTTTCTCCTCCCTGTCCTCTCTGCAGTTCTCCCTCGCCCCTCTCTGGGGTTTCTCTCTCCCCGTCCTCTCTGCAGTTTCTCTCCCCCTCTCCTTCTGGGTTTCCTCCCTGTCTTCTGCGGTCCCCCTTCGTCCTTTTGGGGGAAACTTCTTCCCTTTTTCCTTTTCGCGGTTCTTCTCCCTTTTTCCTTTGGGGGTTTCCTCTCTCCCTTTTCCTCTTGCGGCTTCTCCCCCTTTTCCTCTCTGCGGGTCCTTTTTTTCCCCTTTTCCCTTTCTCGGTCCTTCCCCCTCTTCCTCTTTGCGGTTCCCTCTTCCTCCTGGGTCTCTCTCTCTCCCTCTTTCTCTCTTGGGGGTCTCCCCCTTTCCCTCTTTTTTCTCTGCGGGATCTCTCCCCCCTCTTTCTCTCTGGGGTTCTCTCTCCCCCCTTTTCCCCTTTTTGGGGTCTCTCCCTTTTCCTTTTTGGGGTCTCTCTCCCCTTTCCTTTGGCGGTTTTCTTCCCCCTCTTCCTCTTCCCGGTTCTCCCTTTCCTCTCTGGGGGCTCTCTTCTCCTTTTTTTCTTTGCGGTCTCTCTCCCCTCTTTCTCTCTGGGGGGGTCTCTCTCTTCCCTCTTCTCTTCGGTCTTTTCTCTCCCTTTTTCTTGCGGTCTCTTCCCTTTCCCCTTGGCGGTTCTCCCTATTCCTCTCTGCGGTTCTCCTTTTCCTCTCTCCCGGGGTTTTTCTCCCCCTTTCCTCTCGGGCGGGTTATCTCTCCCCCCGGGGTCCCTCTCTGCAATTTTCCCCCACCTGTCCTCTCTGCGGTCCCTCCCCTTTTCCCTCTCTGCGGTCTTCTCTTGGGTTCCTTCTGCAGCCCTCTCCCGTCCTTTTGCGGTCTCCTCTCTCCCTTTCCCCTCTGCGGTTTCCTCTCTCTCCCCACCTCTTTCTCTCTGCGGCTCTTCTCAATTTTTTCTCTGGGTCCTCCTCCCTCTTCCCCTCTGCGGTCTCTCTCCCCCTGTCTCTTGCGGTTCTCTTTTCCCTGTTCCCCCTTCCCCGGTCTTCTCTCCCTCTTCCTCTTCGGTTCTTTTTCCTCTTCCCCTTGGGTCTCTCTCTCCCTGTCCCCCCTCGGGGTTTTCCCCTCTCCCTTTTTCCCTTTCTCTGGGGTTTCCTTCTTTTCCCCCTTTTCCCTTTCTCTGCGGTCTCTTTTCCCCTCTTGCGGTCTCTCTCTCCCTCTTCCTCTCTGCGGTCTCCTCTCCCTGCCTTTTGGCGGTCTCCTCTCCCTTTTCCTCTCTGGGTTTTCCCCCCCTCCTCTCTGCGTTCCCCTTTCCCTCCGTTCCCCTTTTGGCATCTCTCTCCCCCTTTCCTTCCGGTTTTCTTCTCCCTCGTCCCTCGGGGGTCTCTCTCCCCCTTGCCCTTTCTCTGGGGTCCTCTCTCCCTTTCCTCTCTGCGGTTTTCTTTTCCCTCGTCCTTTGCGGGTCTCTCCCCGTCCTATTGCGGTCTCTCTCTCCCTGGCCTCTTCCCGGGCTCTCTCCCTCGTCCTTTTCTGCGGTTTCTTCTACCCTTTTTCCTTTTGGGGTCTCCCTCTCCCTTTGGGGGTCTCCTTTTCCTTCCTCCTGCAGTCTCTCTCTCCCTTTCCCCTTCTGCGGTCTCTCTCCCTCTTCCCTTGCGGGTTCCCTCTCCCTTTTTATCTTGCGGTCTCTCTCTCCCTCGTCCTCTCTGCGGGCTTCCCTCTTTCCTTTTGGCGGTTTCTCTCCTCGTCCTTCTGGGGGTCTCTCTTCCCTTTTCCCTCTCGCGGTCTCTCTCTCCCTCTCCTTCTGCGGTCTCCTTAATGTCCCTTTTTGCGGTCTCTCTCCCCCTTTTCCCTCTCTGCGGTCTTTTTTTTCCCTTCCTCTCTGGGGGTCTCTTCTCCTCTTCCTCTCTGGGGTTTCTTTTTCTCCCTTTTTCCCTCTCTGGGGGTTCTCTTCCTTTTTCCCCCTGGGTTTCTTCCCCTTCCCCCTTTCCCTTCTTGGGGGTTTTTTTCCCCCTTTCTTCCTCTCTGCGGTCTCTCTCTCCCTTTCCTCTCGCGGTCCCCTTCCCCCTCGCCCTCTCTGGGGTTTCCCTTCTCCCTTTTTCCTCTTGCGGTTTTCTCTTCCCTTCCTCTCCCGGCCCTCTCTCCCCCCTCTCTCCCGGGTCTCTCTCTCCCCTTTGGTCTCTCTCCCCTCTTCCTCTCTGCGGTTCTCTTCCCTTTCCTCTCTGCGGTCTCTCTTCCCTTTCCCTCTTGCGGGCCCGTTTTCCCTTTTCCCCTTTCTGGGGTCTCTCTCTCCCTTTCCTTCTGCGGTCTTTCTCCCTCTTCCTCTCTGGGGGTTTTCTCTCTCCCTCTTGTCTCTCCCCGGTCTCCTCCCCCTTTCGTCCTCCTGCGGTTTCCTCCCCCTTTTCCTTCTGCGGTCTCTCTCCCCTTCTTCCTCTCTGGGGGTCTCTCTCCCCTCTGCGGTCTCTCCCCCCCTTTCCTCTCGCCCCGCTTTTCCCCTTCCTCTCTCCCGGGTCCTCTCCCCCCTTTTCCCCTTATCGGCCCCCTTTTTCCCTCTTGCGGTTTTTCTTTCCCGTTTCCTCCCCTGAAAGTTCTCTCTCCCTCGCCCTCTCTGGGGTTTTCTCCCCTTTTCCTCTCTGCGGTCTCTCTCTCCCTCTTCCTCTCGGGGGGTTCTTCTCCCTTGTCCTCTTTTGCGGTCTCTTTTCCCCCTTGTCCTCTTTGCGGTCTTCCCTCCCTCGTCCTTTTTGGGGGGGTTTCTCTCTCCCTTTCCCTCTCGGGCGGTTTTTCCTTTCCCTCGTCCTCTCTGGGGTTTTCTCTCTCCCTTTCCTCTCTGCGGTCTTTTTCCCCCTTCCCCTTTCTTGCGGTCTCCCTCTCCCTCTTCCTCTCTGCGGTCTCTCTCTCCCTCGTCCTCTCTGCGGTCTCTCTCTCCCTCTTCCTCTCTGCGGTCTCTCTCTCCCTCTTCCTCTCTGCGGTCTCTCTCTCCCTCTTCCTCTCTGCGGTCTCTCTCTCCCTCTTCCTCTCTGCGGTCTCTCCCTCCCCCTTCCTCCACTCATCCCTGTTTTCTCTCTCTCCACAGACAGTATGATTCGAGTGGGAGGAGACTACCAGGCACAGATACCTGAGTTCAACCCAGGTACCGGAGGGAGGGAGGGAGGGGGGATGGAGGGAGGATGGGAGGGAGGGAGGGGGGATGGAGGGAGGGAGGGGGGGGGGGGGGGGGTTTGATTATTTGGCTGTGTATGTGACAGAAGAAGTGAGAGAAAATAAGGGATGTATGACTAACGTGTGTGTGTGTGTGTGTGTGTGTGTGCAGACAGTCCAAGCCACTACAATGAGAAGGAGCAGAGGAGTATGCTGGTGTGGTGCCCCAACAGCCTCGTCTCCGACGCCATGTGTAAACACACACACACACACATACACACACACACACACACACACACACACACACATACACACCACACTATACTATTAGCTAACAGTTTTTTTCTTCTCTCTCTCTGCTCTCTGCATTCTCTCTCTCTGCATTCTCTCTCTCTGCTCTCGCTCTCTCTGCTCTCTGCTCTCTGCTCTCTGCTCTCTTTCTCTCTGCTCTGTCTCTCTGATCTCTCTGCTCTGCGCTCGCTCTCTCTGCTCTCTGCTCTGTCTCTCTGATCTCTCTCTCTGCGCTCGCTCTTTGCGCTCTCTCTGCGCTCTCTCATTTTCTCTTTCTCTTTCTCTCTCTCTCTCTCTCACTGCTATCTTTCTCTGCTCGCTCTCTGCTCTCTGCTCTCTCTCAGTGGATGAATATATTCTGATGGCTAAAGAGAAGCATGGCTACAACATGGAGCAGGTAACAGTCAGTCAATCAAACTGTATTGACAATGCCTTTGTCACAATACAAAAATATAAACATATAAGGAAATAAGTCAATTGACATCAATTCATTAGGCACTAAACTATGGATTTCACATGACTGGGAATACAGATATGCATCTGTGTGTCACAGATATCTTAAAAATCGTAGGGCGTGGATCAGAAAACCAGTCAGTATGTGGTGTGACCACCATTTGCCTCATGCAGCGTGACACATCTCCTTCACATAGAGTTGATCAAGGCTGTTGATTCTGGCCTGTGGAATGTTTTCCCACTTCTCTTCAATGGCTGTGCGAAGTTGCTGGATATTGGTTGGGAACTGGAACAAGCTGTTGTACACGTCGATCCAGAGCATCCCAAACATGCTCAATGGGTGACATGTCTGGTGAGTATGCAGGCCATGGAATTGTGTACAGATCCTTGTGACATGGGGCCGTGCATCTTCATGCTGAAACATGAAGTGTTGGCGGCGGATGAATGGCACGACAATGGGCCTCAGGATCTCGTCACGGTATCTCTGTGCATTCAAATTGCCATTGGTAAATTGAAATTGTGTTAATTGTCCGTAGCTTATACCTGCCCATACCATAACCCCCCCGCCACCATGGAGCACTCTGTTCACAACGTTGACATCAGCAAACCGCTCGCCCACACAACGCCATACATGTTCTGCGGTTGTGAGGCCGGTTGGACGTGCTGCCAATTTCTCTAAAACGATGTTGGAGATGGTATATGGTAGAGAAATGAACATTAAATTATCTGGCAACAGCTCTAGTAGACATTCCTGCAGTCAGCATGCCAATTACACGTTCCCCGCAAATTGAGACATCTGTGGCATTGTGTTGTGTGACAAAACGGCAAATTTTTTTAAATTGCATTTTATTGGCCCCCAGCACAAGGTGCACCTGTGTAATGATCATGCTGTTTAATCGGCTTCTTGATATGCTACACCTGTCAGGTGGATGGATTATACTGACAATGGAGAAATGCTCACTAACAGGGATGTAAACAAGTGTGTGCACATTTAAGAGAAATAAGCTTTTTGTGCGTCTGGAAAATGTATTGGATCTTTTATTTCAGCTCATGAAACATACAGTTGTAGTCGGAAGTTTACATACACTTAGGTTGGAGTCATTAAAACTCGATTTTCAACCACACCACCAATTAATTTTTAACAAACTATAGTTTTGGCAAGTCGGTTAGGACATCTACTTTGTGCATGACACAAGTAATTTTTCCAACAATTGTTTACAGACAGATTATTTCACTTATAATTCACTGTATCACAATTCCAGTGGGTCAGAAGTTTACATACACTAAGTTGACCGTGCCTTTTAAACAGCTTGGAAAATTCCAGAAAATGATGTCATGGCTTTAGAAGCTTCTGATAAGCTAATTGACATCATTTGAGTCAACTGGAGGTGTACCTGTGGATGTATTTCAAGGCCTACCTTCAAACACAGTGCCTCTTTGCTTGACATCATGGGAAAATCAAAAGAATCAGCCAAGACCTCAGAAAAAAGTCTGGGTCATCCTTGGCAGCAATTTCCAAACGCCTGAAGGTACCACGTTCATCTGTACAAACAATAGTACGCAAGTATAAACACCATGGGACCACGTAGCCGTCATACCGCTCAGGAAGGAGACGTGTTCTGTCTCCTAGAGATGAACGTACTTTGGTGCGAAAAGTGCAAATCAATCCCAGAACAACAGCAAAGGACCTTGTGAAGATGCTGGAGGAAACAGGTACAAAAGTATCTATATCCACAGCAAAACGAGTCCTATATCGACATAACCTGAAAGGCCGCTCAGCAAGGAAGAAGCCACTGCTCCAAAACCGCCATAAAAAAGCCAGACTAGGGTTTGCAACTGCACATGGGGACAAAGATCGTACTTTTTGGAGAAATGTCCTCGTGTCTGATGAAACAAAAATAGAACTGTTTGGCCATAAAGACCATCGTTATGTTTGGAGGAAAAAGGGGGTAGCTTGAAAGCCGAAGAACACCATCCCAACGTGAAGCACGGGGGTGGCAGCATCATGCTGTGGGGGTGCTTTGCTGCAGGAGGGACTGGTGCACTTCACAAAATAGATTTTTATTTTTTATTTTTTTTTTGGTCATTTAGCAGACGCTCTTATCCAGAGCGACTTACAGATGGCATCATGAGGAAGGAAAACATCTCAAGACATCAGTCAGGACGTTAAAGCTTGGTCGCAAATGGGTCTTCCAAATGGACAATGACCCCAAGCATACTTCCAAAGTTGTGGCAAAATGGCTTAAGGACAACAAAGTCAAGGTATTGGAGTGGCCATCACAAAGCCCTGACCTCAATCCTATAGAAAAAGCGTGTGCGAGCAAGGAGGCCTACAAACCTGACTCAGTTACACCAGCTCTGTCAGGAGGAATGGGCCAAAATTCACCCAACTTATTGTGGGAAGCTTGTGGAAGGCTAACCGAAACGTTTGACCCAAGTTAAACGATTTAAAGGCAATGCTACCAAATACTAATTGAGTGTATGTAAACTTCTGACCCACTGGGAATGTGATGAAAGAAATAAAAGCTGTAATAAATCATTCTCTCTAATATTATTCTGACATTTCACATTCTTAAAATAAAGTGGTGATCCTAACTGACCTAAGACAGGGAATTTTTACATTTTACATTTGAGTCATTTAGGAGACGCTCTTATCCAGAGCGACTTACAGTTAGTGAATGCGTACATGTTTTTTTTCATTGTTTCTTTTCATACTGGCCCCCCGTGGGAAACGAACCCACATCCCTGCCGGCCAAACCCTCCCCTACCTTGGACGACGCTGGACCAATTGTGCGCCGCCCATGGGTCTCCCGGTCGCGGCCGGCTGCGACAGAGCCTGGACTCGAACCAGGATCTCTAGTGGCACAGCTAGCACTGCGATGCAGTGCCTTAGACCACTGCGCCACTCGCTAGGATTAAAATGTCAGGAATTGTGAAAAACTGAGTTTAAATGTATTTGGCTAAAAGGTGTATGCAAACTTCCCACTTCCACTGTAGGACCAACACTTTACATGTTGCATTTATGTTTTTGTTCACTGTAGTTAGCTCATAGGGCTCTGGTCAAATATAATGCCCTATATGGGGAATAGCTCTGTCTTCCTCCCCTGGGTCTAAATGTCACTGCTCTCTCTCTCTCCAGGCCCTGGGTCTAAATGTCACTGCTCTCTCTCTCTCCAGGCCCTGGGTCTAAATGGCACTGCTCTCTCTCTCTCCAGGCCCTGGGTCTAAATGTCACTGCTCTCTCTGTCTGTCTCTCCAGGCCCTGGGTCTAAATGTCACTGCTCTCTCTCTCTCCAGGCCCTGGGTCTAAATGGCACTGCTCTCTCTCTCTCCAGGCCCTGGGTCTAAATGTCACTGCTCTCTCTGTCTGTCTCTCCAGGCCCTGGGTCTAAATGTCACTGCTCTCTGTCTCCAGGCCCTGGGTCTAAATGTCACTGCTCTCTCTCTCTCCAGGCCCTGGGTCTAAATGGCACTGCTCTCTCTCTCTCCAGGCCCTGGGTCTAAATGTCACTGCTCTCTCTGTCTGTCTCTCCAGGCCCTGGGTCTAAATGTCACTGCTCTCTCTGTCTGTCTCTCCAGGCCCTGGGTCTAAATGTCACTGCTCTCTCTGTCTCTCCAGGCCCTGGGTCTAAATGTCACTGCTCTCTGTCTGTCCAGGCCCTGGGTCTAAATGTCACTGCTCTCTCTCTCCAGGCCCTGGGTTTAAATGTCACTGCTCTCTCTGTCTGTCTCTCCAGGCCCTGGGTCTAAATGTCACTGCTCTCTCTCTCTCTCCAGGCCCTGGGTCTAAATGTCAACTGCTCTCTCTGTCTGTCTCTCCAGGCCCTGGGTCTAAATGTCACTGCTCTCTCTGTCTGTCTCTCCAGGCCCTGGGTCTAAATGTCACTGCTCTCTCTTTCTCTCTCTCCAGGCCCTGGGTCTAAATGTCACTGCTCTCTCTTTTTCTCTCTCCAGGCCCTGGGTCTAAATGTCACTGCTCTCTCTCTCTCTCTCTCTCTCCAGGCCCTGGGTCTAAATGTCACTGCTCTCTCTGTCTGTCTCTCCAGGCCCTGGGTCTAAATGTCACTGCTCTCTCTGTCTGTCTGTCCAGGCCCTGGGTCTAAATGTCACTGCTCTCTCTTTCTCTCTCTCCAGGCCCTGGGTCTAAATGTCACTGCTCTCTCTGTCTGTCTCTCCAGGCCCTGGGTCTAAATGTCACTGCTCTCTCTTTCTCTCTCTCCAGGCCCTGGGTCTAAATGTCACTGCTCTCTCTTTCTCTCTCTCCAGGCCCTGGGTCTAAATGTCACTGCTCTCTCTGTCTCTCTCTCCAGGCCCTGGGTCTAAATGTCACTGCTCTCTCTTTCTCCTCTCTCCAGGCCCTGGGTCTAAATGTCACTGCTCTCTCTTTCTCTCTTCCAGGCCCTGGGTCTAAATGTCACTGCTCTCTCTTTCTCTCTCTCCAGGCCCTGGGTCTAAATGTCACTGCTCTCTGTCTGTCTCTCCAGGCCCTGGGTCTAAAGGGTCACTGCTCTCTTTCTCTCTCTCCAGGCCCTGGGTCTAAATGTCACTGCTCTCTCTGTCTCTCTCTCCAGGCCCTGGGTCTAAATGTCACTGCTCTCTCTGTCTCTCTCTCCAGGCCCTGGGTCTAAATGTCACTGCTCTCTCTGTCTGTCTCTCCAGGCCCTGGGTCTAAATGTCACTGCTCTCTCTGTCTGTCTCTCCAGGCCCTGGGTCTAAATGTCACTGCTCTCTCTGTCTGTCTCTCCAGGCCCTGGGTCTAAATGTCACTGCTCTCTCTGTCTCTCTCTCCAGGCCCTGGGTCTAAATGTCACTGCTCTCTCTGTCTGTCTCCAGGCCCTGGGTCTAAATGTCACTGCTCTCTCTGTCTGTCTCTCCAGGCCCTGGGTCTAAATGTCACTGCTCTCTCTGTCTGTCTCTCCAGGCCCTGGGTCTAAATGTCACTGCTCTCTCTGTCTGTCTCTCCAGGCCCTGGGTCTAAATGTCACTGCTCTCTCTGTCTGTCTCTCCAGGCCCTGGGTCTAAATGTCACTGCTCTCTGTCTGTCTCTCCAGGCCCTGGGTCTAAATGTCACTGCTCTCTGTCTGTCCAGGCCCTGGGTCTAAATGTCACTGCTCTCTCTCTCCAGGCCCTGGGTCTAAATGTCACTGCTCTCTGTCTGTCCAGGCCCTGGGTCTAAATGTCACTGCTCTCTCTCTCCAGGCCCTGGGTCTAAATGTCACTGCTCTCTGTCTCTCCAGGCCCTGGGTCTAAATGTCACTGCTCTCTGTCTCTCCAGGCCCTGGGTCTAAATGTCACTGCTCTCTGTCTCTCCAGGCCCTGGGTCTAAATGTCACTGCTCTCTGTCTGTCTCTCCAGGCCCTGGGTCTAAATGTCACTGCTCTCTCTCTCCAGGCCCTGGGTCTAAATGTCACTGCTCTCTGTCTGTCTCTCCAGGCCCTGGGTCTAAATGTCACTGCTCTCTGTCTCTCCAGGCCCTGGGTCTAAATGTCACTGCTCTCTGTCTCTCCAGGCCCTGGGTCTAAATGTCACTGCTCTCTGTCTCTCCAGGCCCTGGGACTAAATGTCACTGCTCTCTGTCTGTCTCTCCAGGCCCTGGGTCTAAATGTCACTGCTCTCTGTCTGTCTCTCCAGGCCCTGGGTCTAAATGTCACTGCTCTCTGTCTGTCTCTCCAGGCCCTGGGTCTAAATGTCACTGCTCTCTGTCTGTCTGTCCAGGCCCTGGGTCTAAATGTCACTGCTCTCTCTCTCTCCAGGCCCTGGGTCTAAATGTCACTGCTCTCTCTGTCTGTCTCTCCAGGCCCTGGGTCTAAATGTCACTGCTCTCTCTGTCTGTCTGTCCAGGCCCTGGGTCTAAATGTCACTGCTCTCTGTCTGTCTCTCCAGGCCCTGGGGATGTTGCTGTGGCATAAACATGATGTGGAGTGTTCCCTGGCTGACCTGGCTAACTTCACTCCCTTCCCTGAGGAGTGGACAGTGGAGGACAAGGTTCTGTTTGAACAGGCCTTCAGCTTCCATGGCAAGAGCTTCCATCGTATACAGCAGATGGTGAGGACACACTTACTGGGGAGCTACACTGGGGCGTTGTGAAAACACTGTTTTACCTGCTACACTGGGGCAGAACTGTTTGTTCTTGCACGTGAGCTGTATGTCAAGATCTTGAAAATAGAACCAGAGTGTAATTTTAAGCTCTCTCCCCCTCTCCTCCCCCTATCTCCCCTCTCTCCTCCCTCCTCTCTCCTCCCCTCTCCTCTCTCCCCCCCCCCTCTCCCCTCTCCCCTCCCCTCTCCCCCCTCTCTCCCCCCCCCTCTCCTCTCCCCTCTCCCCCCCCCCCCCCCCCTCTCTCCCCTCTCCCCCTCTCTCCCCTCTCCCCTCTCCCCTCTCCTCTCTCTAGCTGCCTGATAAGCTGGTCTCAGGCCTGGTCCGGTACTACTACAGCTGGAAGAAGACCAGAACTAGAACCAGCGTTATGGACCGACAGGCTAGAAGACTGGTCAGAAAGACAGACAAGGAAGATGGGTGAGGGGGGGGGACATGGGGGAGATGGAGAGGAGAGATGGAGAAGAGAGAGGATGGGAAGGGGAGATGGCGAGGAGAGAAGGGGGGATGGGGGAGATGGAGAGGAGAGGGAGAGAAGGGGGGGATGGGGAGATGGAGAGAAGGGGGGATGGGGGAGATGGAGAGGATAGAGGGGAGAGGAGAGGGAGAGAAGGGGATAGAGGGAGATGGAGAGGATAGAGGGGAGAGGAGAGGGAGAGAAGGGGGGGATGGGGAGATGGAGAGGATAGAGGGGGGGGACAGACAGGCTAGAAGACTGGTCAGAAAGAGAGACGAGGATGAGGGAGGGAGGGAGGGGTTAGTGAGATTTGAAAGGGTAAAGAGATTGAAAGAAGGAAGAATGTACTAAATGAATTGCTCTGTCACTTCTCCATCCCTTATTTTCCTCAGTAATGACGAGATAGAGGAGGGAGACCCGGGCAGCGACAGCGACTTTGAGATCGACACCAAGAAAGAGGTGAGCAGAATGAAGTGTTACTCTTCTCATGTCTGTGTGCTGACCCTCCCCCGTTCTCTCCCTCCCTCGTTCTCTCCCTCCCCGGTTCTCTCCCTCCCTCCCCCGTTCTCTCCCTCCTCAGACAGTGAAGCAGCAGAGCTCCAGTGGTGCTGGAGGAGAGAGGGGAGCGCCGGGCCGGTCTAACCCACAGAGGAAGGAGTCTGTTGGGGCTCAGTACCGCCACCACCCCCTGAGAGCCCGTCGGAGACCACCTAAAGGTACCTTATATACACACACTGGGTTTCTTTATCCAGATGTGTGTGTGTGTGTGTGTGTTGGTATACCGAAACTTCTGTACTTTTTTTTTTCGATACAAAAAACCCCCCAAAAGTTGTGTTACTATAATTTTTGTTACGTTCGGTACTTCTGTAAAATGTGTCTCACGTGATTGAGAGGATCAAGTCTGTATCAGTGCAGCCTATTGATAGTGTGAAGAGCGAAGCGCCCGTTCCACTTCCTCAATCATTACTAGAGCGGTCTGGCTGCATTGTTAGCCCCCTACTTATGCTGCATAAAAATGTACACTTGAATAACGCAACACGGCATGTAGAAATGTTTAAACTGTTCATTACTGTTCTCAAAACAATGTCCATACAGGCTAGAACACTTTTATAATGCAAGACGATACTGGTAGCTTCCAGCTTTGTAGGCTAACTTTATTTGCTAGCTGACAGCTAAAGCCTTTTTTTTTTTTTTACGTTCCCTAGCAAGACAACCAAAAATATCGCTCAAACAGAAGGGGGGAACTAACAAAGCGTCACTGACCGACAACCAAAACGAAACAGGTGGGGTTTTAGGAGGGGTTCTGAAAGACGCTCATGGGGGTGTCCACTGAAAGTTGACTAGCAACAACAACTGGACCCTAAAAGACACCCACCATGAGCGGCCACTAAATTTGCCCACTAAGAGGCAAACAAAAGAAAACTCCACACCAAAACAAAAACAGGGAAGATCAGACAAAGGAATGTTTTTCTAGAGATCAAATCGGGAGCGACAACTAAAGGTGTTGACCCTCCACATCTCTCAAGACCAACTGGTGCACTGGGCCAGCCACTCTTAAATAGCACCTGGGCCAGCACAGGTGAAACCCCTTCCCACTAACAAGATGGACAAGACAGAACAGGTGTAACACATACTAACTAACGAGGTGACACCAAACGGTGCGTCCTACGTGCTAACGAGCTATACGTGCTAAAGTCCAACCTCAAAACATAAATGGAAAAACCTAAAGCTATAACACCTTCCCCCTTAAGACAACAAATATATCCTAGATTTTTGTTGGACAAGTTTGCTCACCACCAACAGAAAACGACTTCCATCTCACAACATAATCAACTTCAATGCCTCCTCCAATATAAACATGGTGTCTATTGGCTGTCAACAATTAAATGCCAGACAGAACAGCCACCTTTTTGTTTAGTTTTTTAAATGTATATAGGCTTTGTTTTTTGTTTGTATTTTCCAATATTTCTTATTTACCTTTTTTTTGTTTTTGGACATAGTTGCCTAAAACTCAGAAGTTTTGAGAAAAAAAAACACGTACGCTTCTATAACGCAAAACGTACTGTCAAAATAAATTGTGAGTCAGGGCTACACACACTGGCTAAACACAAAACACAACGTATCGACTGCCCACCCTTGGAAGACAATCAGCAACCAAGTTGTCCTTACTACGGACATGTCTGAACTGGCTAAAACACAAAACACAACGTATCGACTGCCCACCCTTGGAAGACAATCAGCAACCAAGTTGTCCTTACTACGGACATGTCTGAACTGGCTAAAACACAAAACACAACGTATCGACTGCCCACCCTTGGAAGACAATCAGCAACCAAGTTGTCCTTACTACGGACATGTCTGATTTCAAGGGGAAACTCCTGCAATATCCGTAGTAACTTTCCTCTCGTGAGGAAAGTTACCACGTCACTGCAGAGCTTCTCTCTCTTTTCAGGGTTCACTCGATAGACATGTTGTTGGATCTGGGCTGAGTCCCCAACGTCAATGTCATGCTCTAGTACATTTTGTCTTGAGTTGGCACATCCTGAGAGTAAACCTGATATTCTAAAAAGTAGTGAAACAATGTCGCCTTTTTCCTCTGGAGACAAGTGTGGCAAAAATACATCAAGGTTTTCTAGAATATCTTGAGTTACTGAACCATACCAACCGTCACACAGGATGTACTGGACTTTCCTCATACTCTTGAGGAAGACTATAGTCAACGGTGACAGCAGTGGCCACAGGCAGAACATCATCCACTGTCTTCCCCGCCCGGTCGTAGCGGGTCAAGTATGATTTGAACATGTTGACATGACACAGCCAGGTTTTTCTCCTGCGCTCCTGTGAGCCGATGATGTAATCCAGATGACTTAATTTATTTCACTATGGGGTAAGGGACTGAAAAGCAACCCTGCAACGGTGACCCCAGAACGGGAAACAAAACCAGGACTTGGTCATCCACATCGGAAGTGCAGTTTCGGGGGTCTTCCAATCGTAACAACATTTCATTTTTGTTTGCGCCATCTCTTGATTCTTAGTGGCAAACTCACAGGCGCGGTGTAATCTGTATCGAAAAGCGCTAACGTGCTCCAACAGATTTGCAACAGTCACAGCTTGGTTCGGTTTACTCGTCTGCTGGCAAATGCGGCAGGATTTACAGTAAGCCACAACATCCTGTTTCAGACCAGGCCAGAAGAAGTTATGCAAGATACGGTCATACATCTTGTTGACCCCAAGATGGCCTGCCGTACTACCATTGTGATCCAACCTCAGTATCTCTTGTCAAAGCGTAACTGGAACAACAATTTCAGATACACTGGGCCAATCGTCTTGCCCAGAAGTGGTGTGAGCGCCATCTCCTCATCAGAACACCATCTCCGTCAGAGTAACCCACACGAACTTCATCAAACTCCTCCTCTGGACGTATCTCAGCAAAAAGAGGAGAGAGGGAAACATAATTTCTCTGTTCAGCAATCGGCTGCTTCCTAGACATTGAAGTGTCAACTGTAGGGACCCTTTCTTCCTTCAGAGGTCCTACAAACTCACTCACCTTTGGGGAGATCAACTTAGGAGGTTCTATTTATTTTAATTGTTTTGTACTTTTACCCCTTTTTTTCTCTCACTAATTTCGTGATATCCAATCGGTAGTTACAGTCTTGTTCCATCGCTGCAACTCCCTGTACGGACTTGGGACAGGCGAAGGTCGAGAGCCATGCGTCCTCCGAAACACGACCCCGCCAAGCCTCACTGCATTTTGTCACACTGCTCACTTAACCCAGAAGCCGTACAGCTGGCGACCGTAGTCAGCGTGCACGCGCCCGGCCCGCCACGAGGAGTCGCTAGAGCGCGATGATACAAGGACATCCCCGGCCGGCCGGCCCTCCCCTAACCCGGATGACGCTGGGCCAATTGTGCGCCGCCTCATGGGTCTCCTGGTCGCGGCCGGCTGCTGCCTGGGATCGAACCAAGGTCTCTAGTGATGCCTCTAGCTGCGATGCAGTGCCTTAGACCGCTGCGCCACTCGGGAGGCTCAACTTAGGAGGTTCACCGAAATCATGATCACCCATAAACGTCTCAGACAGATCAACCATGGTGGGATCGCTGACATCCTCAACACCAGACTTGCTCCCGGCGACTTTCTTAGACATTACCACGTGGAACGGCACACGCTGGGACTTCTCTGATAACCCATCAGGTTCCTCTACTCTGAGTTCCTTACAAACGACAGGATTTGGCACGACCTTCCCTCCATCCTAATCGTTTCCCAAAATGAATGAGAACCCCTTCGCCGGTAGGCCTCGCTCCCACGACAACGGAAACCAGAAATAAGAGCAGACTAGAGTTCCACATTCTACAAAGGAACTTCCATGCAACTCATCTGCATGCTTTGTACTGACGCACTGTAACCAGTTGCTGAAGTGTCAGACAAAGGCAGAATACCCTCCAACATGAAGGATTGGGCCGGCCCAGTGTCTCGCAGTGTCGTCACCGGCTGCCTAACATCATCGATAATCTGCAGACACACAAATCCATCTGAAACAAAGGGTTCATACACATCTTGATCCTAAATGCTGTTTAGGAGATCCACCAGTCCCAACCAGAGACTTAATGGCCTGGAGTGCTCCCACAAGAAGAAACAGCTTTTTCCTCTCATTTTTCAGTTTCAACTTAGGACACAGAGAGACAATGTGTCCTTTCTCACGGCAGTAATTACAAACTGGTGGATACGGAAAAAAACAGTTTTTCTGTCGATTTTTATCTTTGGGCACTGAAGAAATGGACTGAAACCTCGCAGTAGGATGTGACTTCACTGGATCGCTTTTTGCATAGGGGGTAACTACTGGGTGCTTTGTTGGTCAACACATTCATCTGCAAGAACTGCAGCTTTCTCAGGAGTGAGATCCTTGTGCTCATAAATGTAGGTCGCAAGACCTTGAAGGCAATTCTTGAACCGCTTGAGAAGTATGAGCGTCTTTAAATCTTCAAGGTCCTTGACCTCTTGAGAACCACCAACCAAAAATACATGCTTGTTCCCTTGCCAACTCAACATGGCTTTGTGATTGTCACTTTTATAATTCACATCAATTCACTTCCCTAGTACTTTTGTTTGTGATAATAGGCATTCCCTAGTACTTTTGTTTGTGATAATAGGCAAACCATAACGCAAAATAAGATTATTTCAAAGCTGATCGTCACCAAAAATGTTATTAATTCACTTCGTCTCCCTCACCACCAAAACCTCATTCACTTCATCTCCCTCGGCTCCCGTCTGGTTTCCACTAGATTCCACATTCTGCCTCATGCATGACCTCAATACTTTCTTAAAGAAACACTTTTATAAAAGAAGAGATTGCTTCTTCTATGCAAATGTTGTTGATCTGTTTAATAAAATAATATCTCCTAGCAGTTGCCAATAAAGTAAGTCCTAAATGGAGGGGATTGTTTTGTCATCTGTAGCCCCATGAAATCAGCTAAAACAAGCTCAATAACTCAATGCATGCACACACTCCTATTGAATGATATTAATTCACCTGTATTGTGGATAGACCTAGGCTACATCTTGGTTTATCCATAGAGATTTACCATTCAAATAAATGATTACCATTACGTTATGATGTAGTTTGGTAAAAACAAAGTCAAATTGATTGTAGAATCGATTCATTTAATGCATACAACATGACTGTCTCAAAGAAATTGACAAATGTTCAAGTGTAACGATATTGAACTCAAAAGATGCGACGATTCAACAGAGCAGTAGCTGAGTTTATCTGTCTGGATCAAGGGGCATTCTGGGACTTTGGCTAATATGCCTTCTTTTTGTCGTGATGGTGTATCGAGTATCGTGATGGAATCGAGCATCGTGATGGTGTATCGAGTATCGTTTTGGAATCGAGCATCGTGATGGTGTATCGAGTATCGTTTTGGAATCGAGTATCGTGATGGTGTATCGAGTATCGTTTTGGAATCGTGATGGTGTATCGAGTATCGTTTTGGAATCGAGTATCGTGATGGTGTATCGAGTATCGTTTTGGAATCGAGTATCGTGATGGTGTATCGAGTATCGTTTTGGAATCGAGTATCGTGATGGTATCGAGTATCGTTTTGGAATGGAGTATCGTGATGGTGTATCGAGTATCGTTTTGGAATCGAGTATCGTGATGGTATCGAGTATCGTTTTGGAATGGAGTATCGTTTTGGAATGGAGTATCGTTTTGGAATCGAGTATTATACGTTTAAGTTCTGCTATGTTCCCTCTCTCTGTCTGTGTGTGTGTTAACACATCCTCTCTCCTCTAAAGGCATGCATCTGAACCATGATGACATCATGGCCGTGTCAGCCAATCACCACCATGGCTCTGGCAGACAGCTAGACACACACCTGGTGTCACTCAAGAGACGGGTATACACACACACAGACAATACACGCACGCACACACACACACACGGAGACACACACACAGAGACACAGACAGAGACACAGACATCACTTATAGAGTAATAGATTCTCGCTGACTCTCTCTGTCTCGCTCTGTCTCTCTCTCTCTCTCTCTCTCAGGTCCAGAGTATTAAGCAGAACAACAGTAGTATGAAACACTGTCTAGACGAGGGCATCGACAGCCTGCGTCCTACAGGGGTACATACATCTCTCTCTCTCTCTCCTTCTTTAACTTGATCTTCCCTGTCTTCCGGAGATACCCAAGTAGGTCCACTCTACACCAGGGGTGTGTCTCAATAGTCTAAAGTTTCCTTCTGATCCTCTCCTTCATCTATACTAGGGGGTGTCAAACAATCTGGCCGGCGGGGGATTTGAGTAAAAACTAAAATCTATTATTATGTGTCACAGCTGGCCGTGACCGGGAATCCCATAGGTTGGCGCACAAGTAGCCCAGTGTCGTCCGGGTTAGATGAGGGTTTGGCGTAGGGGGGCTTTCCTTGGCTTATCGCGCTCTAGCGACTCCTTGTGGCGGGCCGGGCGCCTGCAAGCTGACCTCAGTCAGTTAACGGTGTTTCCTCTGACACATTGGTGCGGCTGGCTTCCGGGTTAAGAGAACCTCCTAAGAAGCAGCGCGGCTTGGCGGGTCTTGGCGGGTCTTGTTTCGGAGGACTCATAACCCGACCTTCGCCTCTCCCGAGCCCATTGGGGAGTTTCAGCGATGAGACAAGATCGTAACTACCAACTGGATATCACGAAATTGGGGAGAAAAAGGGGGTAAAATTACAAACAAAACAAAAAATATATAAATATATATATATATATATATATATATATATACCGGACATATCTTCAAACATTGTCTTGACTGTCCAGCTCGCTAATAATCACTTATTATTATTATTATTATTATTATTATAATTAATTATAATAATCACAGTCAGGGAGCACTGAAAAACGATGGATAGAGGACTATTACTATTTTTACTACATTTCGACGGCAAGGAAATGAAACCCATTTTCATTACGGTCCTCCAGACCTTGTTGAAGACCGACCGCAGCCCCCTGGTCTACACCCTCATCCTCCTTGATTGGTAAATTAAAAGGTCACGGATAAGTTAGGAACTCCCCTCACCTGGTTGTCTGGGTCGTAATTGGACACAAATTTAATGGACATAACAACAACCAGCAGACACTGGAGTTTGACTAACTCCTCCTCCTCACCCCAGATCTCAAACTAACTCTTCCTCCTCTCACCCCAGATCTCAAACTAACTCCTCCTCCTCACCCCAGATCTCAAACTAACTCCTCCTCCTCACCCCAGATCTCAAACTAACTCCTCCTCCTCTCCCCAGATCTCAAACTAACTCCTCCTCTTCACCCCAGATCTCAAACTAACTCTTCCTCTCACCCCAGATCTCAAACTAACTCCTCCTCCTCACCCCAGATCTCAAACTAACTCCTCCTCCTCACCCCAGATCTCAAACTAACTCCTCCTCTCACCCCAGATCTCAAACTAACTCCTCCTCCTCACCCCAGATCTCAAACTCTTCCTCCTCTCACCCCAGATCTCAAACTAACTCCTCCTCCTCACCCCAGATCTCAAACTAACTCCTCCTCCTCACCCCAGATCTCAAACTAACTCCTCCTCCTCACCCCAGATCTCAAACTAACTCTTCCTCCTCTCACCCCAGATCTCAAACTAACTCCTCCTCCTCACCCCAGATCTCAAACTAACTCCTCCTTCTCACCCCAGATCTCAAACTAACTCCTCCTCACCCCAGATCTCAAACTAACTCCTCCTCCTCACCCCAGATCTCAAACTAACTCCTCCTCCTCACCCCAGATCTCAAACTAACTCCTCCTCTCACCCCCAGATCTCCAAACTAACTCCTCCTCCTCACCCCAGATCTCAAACTAACTCCTCCTCTCACCCCAGATCTCAAACTAACTCCTCCTCCTCCTCACCCCAGATCTCAAACTAACTCCTCCTCCTCACCCCAGATCTCAAACTAACTCCTCCTCCTCACCCCAGATCTCAAACTAACTCTCCTCCTCTCACCCCAGATCTCAAACTAACTCTTCCTCCTCTCACCCCAGATCTCAAACTAACTCTTCCTCCTCTCAACCCCAGATCTCAAACTAACTCTTCCCTCTCACCCCAGATCTCAAACTAACTCCTCCCTCCTCACCCCAGATCTCAAACTAACTCTTCCTCCTCACCCCAGATCTCAAACTAACTCTTCCTCCTCTCACCCCAGATCTCAAACTAACTCTTCCTCCTCTCACCCCAGATCTCAAACTAACTCTTCCTCCTCTCACCCCAGATCTCAAACTAACTCCTCCTCCTCACCCCAGATCTCAAACTAACTCTTCCTCCTCACCCCAGATCTCAAACTAACTCTTCCTCCTCACCCCAGATCTCAAACTAACTCTTCCTCCTCACCCCAGATCTCAAACTAACTCTTCCTCTCACCCCAGATCTCAACTAACCTCTTCCTCCTCTCACCCCAGATCTCAAACTAACTCTTCCTCCTCTCACCCCAGATCTCAAACTAACTCCTCCTCCTCACCCCCAGATCTCAAACTAACTCCCAGATCTCAAACTAACTCCTCCTCCTCACCCCAGATCTCAAACTAACTCTTCCTCCTCACCCCAGATCTCAAACTAACTCTTCCTCCTCTCACCCCAGATCTCAAACTAACTCTTCCTCCTCTCACCCCAGATCTCAAACTAACTCCTCCTCCTCACCCCAGATCCCAAACTAACTCTTCCTCCTCTCTCTCCAGTCGGCTCCCAAGATGAACTCTCGTTGGTCCACTGAGGAACAGCTTCTGGCTGTGCAGGGTGAGTTAACACACCCCCAAAATACAAATCAATCAAGTCAGTAAATCAAATCAATCAATTTCTTTATTGACACAGGAAATTATTGTATTCCGGCAAATACAACTCACAGAAGAAACACAGAAAACACAGTTTGATAATTGCAATATTGTGATCTGAAACATAACTTTCTCTTTAAGCACCCTATCCTCTCTCTCTCTCTCTCCTCCATCTCTTCCCATCAGCAATCCGTCGCTATGGTAAGGACTTTACCGTGGTTGCCGAGGTGATCGGCAACAAGACTCCGGCCCAGGTGAGCTCCTTCTTCGTTAGTTACCGACGGCGATTCAATCTGGACGAGGTCGTCAAGGAGTGGCAGGCGGAACAAGAAGTAGCCTCAACACAGGGGCATTGTGAGAGTCGTAGTAGGAACGAAGAGATGGGAGGAGCAGAGGAGGAGGTGAGGAGAGGGAGGGAGGGTCTGTTTTGGTAAAAGTTTGACAAGTTTCAGTTGCTGACCTAACTTTCTCCCCTCCCTCTCCTCCAGATAAAGATGGAAGATGCTACTCCCCCTGGCGGTGACGCCAACTCCCCCTCTCACCCCTCATCCAATAACCACACCCCTCCTCCTTCCCTCTCCCAGCCTCCCCCCTTACTGCGCCCGGCTCCCCCCTCCGCCCCCCCCAGCCTCCTCCGGCAGCCCCCTCCACTCCAGACCCGACCCCTCCAGAACCGAACCCCCCACAACCACCCCCCTCCCCCGTTGATCCGTCCTGCAGTAGCACCTCCAGGCCAACAGGGGAGCTCTAGTCTCCGTAGGGAACTAGGAAACAACCTCCGCTCCTCTCCTCCTGTTTCCTCTGGTACTGGTCAGCCTCCCTCACTGGTGGGGCTCAAAGTAGAGCAAACCAACTCTCACTGACTGAGATGGATAGATATGAGGTAGAACCTCTTGTATATTTAGGGTGGGGCTGAGGGTGGGACTCTTGTATATTCAGACAGGTAGATTGTGCTGCTAGTGGGAGTGTTTAGCAGGTCATCCATTATGGTGCAACAATAGAAGTCAGAATGCAGTAGTATTTAGTTGAGTTCAAAGCCCCACCAATCTGGTTGGTTCAGAAGCGCCTCGTTCATTCGTTCCCACCCTCCCTCTCTAACACTCCGTTCAGTTCTGACTCCCTCCCCTAACCAACTACACAACCTGTCAATAACCTCACCACCCCCCCACCCCCCACACACTCTCCATACTTCCATCTGAGGCATTAAGGCTTGGGTCATCCATCCTTCTGTTCCCTCCCCCTCTTCTCAGCAGAAAATAGAAGGACATGCCCACACATGCCTCACGGCTGTCTCCATGGCAACCAGCACAGATGTGACTGGTTACCCACGGCAACAGGGACCCTGTGTTTCACCCCCCCCCCCCCCCCCCCCCAAAGAACAGAACATCACGGGTGAACAGAACTTTTTGCCAAAATTCTTTAAGAATACCAAAACCCTCAAGGAAAGGAAGATACACTGGATTGATGTCACGGTGATGGATGCCATGATAACAGAACCCCCCCATGGCAACAGCGGAACATGTGGAATGTTGGAAGGAACTCTGGCAAAACACACACAGGTTCTAGTTCCACACTACGAGGAAATCAGAAAGAGAGGAGAGAGATCCCTCTTTTACCAGAGCCATCCATGTGTTGTTGGTGTTATGACTGCAGATTTCTTTTGTTAGGTGATCTCTAGGTAGATAGACAGACTTGGGATGCATCCCAAATGGAGCCATATTCCCTATATAGTGCACTACTTTGGACCAAATCACTATAGGCCCTGGTCAAGTGTAGTGCACTATATAGGGAATAGGATCTAAACTAGCACACCATTTAGAATCCATGGCCAATGCATTTCTCCATTCTAAGTAGTATGCTAGTGTGGATATGGAACAGAGACCTGTTTTTGATTACGCACTAAAATGATCCCCAAAATACGAGTGTCTCACATTTTGTGTGTCCCAAATGCTCTGGTTAAAGTAGTGTGCTATGTACAGTTCACAGGTGTTGTCTGAAAAAACTGGATTCGATCCGCATTAAAAAGCAAAGGTAATTTCTGAACCGACATATGCAGCGTTTACCGTGAACGCAGTCTCCGAAACCGGGAATATTGCCTTTAAAATTTCAACCCAGCTATAACGCGGATCTTCCGTGATACGAACTGCGTCACAAATAGCACCCTATTCCCTGCATAGTGCACTACTTTTGACCAGAGGCCATAAGGAGTTAGGGTTGCATTTGGGACTTATAGATACTTTGTGGCCTGCTATGAATGACTTGACTGTGTTTAGCAAAACAACCTTTCCCTTAAACTGTTGCTACTAAGTGTTTGTTCATGAAGTTTTGTGAAACTGGATTTGCTTGTTATCGTTTTGAGGATTTCTTTTTTTTTTTTGAATAAAAAGAAAAATCACAACCATAGTGTCGACTGAATTACATTTGTTTCTTTGTTAAATACACACAGATACCAAGGCATACTTTTGTTATACTGGCCTAAATGCAACCAGCTTTTTATTTATTTTTATTACTTTCATTGAATTTCTTTGCACAAAAACAAATACATTTGGAGTCGACCCCTGTCCCTCCCAACCAACCAAATACTGGTTAAAGTGTTTGACTCGGAAATTACAGCAAAAATGTAAAACAATAAATCAACCCTGAAATATAGTAATAACAGCAATAGTAAGAAGAATACATTTTCCCAGCACCTTAAAACAATGATTTAACAGAACAAATAGAAAGAACAGAGGTGTTTTGCTCATGTATACCTGTTCAAGGGCCGTGTACCCCCCTCTCCCTCCCCCTCACCCTCACCCAAGCAGGCAGCTATCATTTGGCTAGAGATTGCTTCCTCTCACTCCTTTCCACTGGCAGAGAGCTCCTAAAGAGAATCAATGCCCCGTGCTGATAACAAGAATACACTCAACCACCATTCACACAACACCACACACACACACTCACAAGGCACGCAGTGACAGAACGTGCGGCCTTGCTCTGAAAACATTGGGAATTCAAATCTCTGGCATTCTCCGCGTCTCGTTCTGCTTTAGGCTGATGGAGGACTGGTCCTAGTAAGGCTGTTGGCATGGTAACATGTTCACACATTAAACCCCAACCCTCCTACAGAAAATAAATCAACCCCAAGGTGAACGAGATGTCTTCATCATCCACTCCGTTTGGACTGACCACACCTAACTTAGACACAGCAGTCAGGTAGATGCCCGGTTAGGGAGAGGTTGGGGTGAAAGGGTACAGGGAGACAAGGTTGGGTGACATCAGAGATAAGTGGGGGGTGGGGGGGGGCTCAGGTGAGGCATTCTTTAACCCAAACAAAGTAAAATAAAAGAAATAATCAACAAGAGAAGAAGTCCTTAATTCATTTGTCCAGAGATCTGAATACATACAATAAAACATGTAATAAATGTAATACTCAATATTTGTACTTCTTACTCTTTGGGGACACACATCGGGGAGGAGAGGGGGAGTAGAAAGGAGAGATGGAGGAGAGGGGGAGTAGAAAGGAGAGATGGAGGAGAGGGGGAGTAGAAAGGAGAGATGGAGGAGAGGGGGAGGAGAAAGGAGAGGGGGAGGAGAAAGGAGAGGGGGAGTAGAAAGGAGAGAGATGGAGGAGAGGGGGAGGAGAAAGGAGAGGGGGAGGTGAGGGGGAGGAGAAAGGAGAGGGGGAGGAGAGGGGGAGGAGAGGGGGAGTGCTGGAGGAGAGTAGAAAGATGGCTGCTGTGTTCTCTCTCTCTCTCTCTGTACAGAAGCGTGATACAACCCCATTGAACATTAACAAAAATCACAAGTTTGTTTCTTTGTCGTAATAACGTCATGATAACGTCATGATAAATCGTAATGTGATAGAACAGCAACAAGAAGAATAACAACATTTTCCCATTGTTCTTCTTTAAAGAAAGGCAACGAATAAAACTGACCAACTCCCCTTTTTCCAGTGTACAACCTTTGACCTTGAAAATCAAACAACCAGGATGTAGAAAATAAAAAAAAGTTTGTCCTCCAATGGTGAATCAAGTCTATTGGCCTGGGACTGGATGACAGGGGGGTGATTTCACCCCTGATGAAAATGTAAAAGCAAAATAGTTGAGGGGGGCGGGGCGGGGGGGGGGGGCGAAGCCTGGTGTATGTGGATTAAAAACAGACAGCAGTCATTAAGGGTGGAGTCTGGTTTGGTGTGTGTATGTGTGTGTGTGTGAGAGACTTAAAAACAGAGCAGTGTCTTGACTGTCTCTCCTCACATCAAACGGGCAGAAAGAGTCTGTCCTTCCACTGAAGGCCTGCCTGTGTGTGTGTGTGTGTGTGTGTGTGTGTGTGTGTGTTCTACGGTTCGAGTTCCGGGAGTCCATTTGGGTCAGAGAACAGTAGAACCCAGGAGAACCATCCAGCGTTGAGTTAGTTTATTTCCAGCATCCAGTCAGTCCGTTCTCTTCTCTTCTCTTTAGAACTCTGAGTGTAACCCAGTCTAGAACCGACTGGAGAAGAGCCTCGGAGCAGGTATGAAGGTGCGTTCAGTCTTAGGCCTCTCCTCTCAGTACAGTGTGTGGGGCAGAGAGAGAGAGAGGCAGAACCAACATGCAGTGGATCTAGAAGACGGGAACCCCAGCTAGAGAACCCAGTGAGGTTCTAAAACACAAACCTCAACAGAGGAAAAAAACTAGACAGAACCCCCCCCCCCCCCCCCCCCCCCCCCAACAGAAAGAACAGGAACAGTCACTCCATCCATCATCTTCTTTCAAATCTTCTCAAATATTGAACCCCTCCAGCCTACCCCCTGCTGTGTCCAGCAGTCCCCCCCCCTCCCCTCAATACAGCGTCATTCTTCTCATTCAGTCTCACTCCTTCTCTCCATTCCTCTCCTCCTCATGTTCCTCATGATAAAACCCCTCATCTCTCCGTCTCACAGTTTGAGCTCGTTAGCGATCTTGGACGCGATGTTCTTAAACGCGATCGACGTCCCGGAGATCCTCTTGAAGCGCACGCCGTTCAGCGAGAGGCGGGGCAGCTTGCACACCTCCATCTCCCATTGGACGAAGTCGTCGCGGGAGGGGTTCCCGAAGATGCACAGCAGCATGTAGCGCTCCCGGAGCTCGTACTCACAGCTGTTGGATTCTAGAACCTTCCGGATCTCTCTCATCATCTCCCCGGGGTCCAAGGAGGACGTGGTTTTCATGGACCAGGTGAACCGGAGGGAACGCGGTTTGGTCGATGTGTCCTTCGGTGGCGGGGTGGCGGTCCCGGAAACAGGGGAGGAGTTATCCTTGTTCTCGTCTCCGCTGCCGCTGTGGGAGGAGCCTAGGACGCCGCTCTTCTCTGATTTATCGACGGTGCTGCTCAGCATCGACCTATAGGAGGAGAAGGTGGAGGGATGAAAGCGAGGGGGAGAGAGGGGGAAGGGGGAGAGAGGGGGAAGGGAGAGGAGAGGAGAAGAGAGAGAGGGGGCAGGGAGGAGAGAGGGGGCCAGGGGAGAGGAGGAAGAGAGAGAGGGGGGGCAAGGGGAGAGAGGGGAGGAGGAGAGGGCAGGGGGAAGGGGGAGGGGGAGAGGGGAGCGAGAGAGCTGGGGAGAGGAGGTGGCGGGGGGGGTGAAGAGAAAGGCATGATGAGGGAGTGCAGGAGTGACTTGGGGCAGGCTTAGGTCAGCATGTAGTCGTCTGACGTTGTTCCTCGTCTTGCCATGGGATCAATTATGTGTTAGCCTACTGCTCGAAGCGTACCGATTATGCAGACGTGTGCAGGGGGAGAAAGAGAGGGAGTAGGGGGGTTGGAGAGGGAGGCAGAGAGAGAAACAGTGAGAAACAGAGTGAGTCAAGCAAACAGAAAGACAGAAGGGAGAGAGATGGAGGGATGTTGACAGGATTAGGAGAAACAGGGGGATGATAGGACAACACAGAAACACACACCTCTAACCATGCATGTACATGCCTACGTCACACACTCAGACTCCCTCCCATTCGCTAACATCCAGAAACGTCATCCCTGATTGGTTAAATCTAAGGTTTGTCAACCAATTAACACCCAATTACCAAATACATTTAACAAATCCCCCCTCTACCCGTTAATCCAATCACATCTATCCCGCCGAGATCTACTGATTAGGTCCGATTGATTGATTAATTGATTGATTGAGGGATGGTTGGTTTGAGTCTCACCTGCTGTCCTCATCCTGACCCTCTCCCTCATACGGACTCCTCAAGAAAAACCAACACAGGTTTAGTCTTCTGAGCTAATAGGCTACAATGTTAGTTTAACAGTTAGCAACACCACATGACCATCCTCCACAGGAACACACGTTGACATTCTCATTCCAGAACCCATTCCTATTCCATTCCAGAACATACATCTGATATCTCAGAATATAGTGGCTTTGTGTATTAGTACAGAACGCCCTGTAGCATAAAACCACCCCAGGTTTAAAAAAAAAAAAACGAAAATCAACGCTGTGTCCCAGTCAAATGAAAATTCGCTGTAGTTTCACAAAGATTAAGGCGAGTAGCGGCATTTTAAAGATTTATTGATGATAAAACAAAATTATGATTGAAATGTTTTGGATGAATAACTAATAGATTAGAATGGAGGGATGGTTTAATTTAGAATGGATTAGTTTGGAATGGTTTAGTTTGGAATGGTTTGGAATGGGATGGTTTAGTTTGGAATGGGATGGAATGGTTTAGTTTGGAATGGGATGGAATGGAGGGGATTATGAGTCCTGTGCCTAAAGAAGAGAGGGAAGGAAGGAGGGTCCAATAACCCCTCCACTGTTTTAGTCTCTCCAACAGCATTCCACTGCTGCACCTACACACAGGCAGCACAGATGGCAGAGGAGAGATAGAATGAGCAATATATTCGATAAGGAAATAGAGCCAGATGACAGAGGAGAGATGGAGAAAACAGAGCCAGAGAGACACGACATGCAGACAGACAGACAGAAAGACAGACAGGAACATGCTTACTGACAGACAGACAAATTCAACATATTCAACTGAGCACCGACTACATCCTCCTTTTAAACTGAATATATATAATATAGCAGTTAAAAACAGACAAATCATTATCAAATGATTATCTTAATAGGAGAGAACAGAACATAACCCCTCCTGGAACAGAGAACGCTTAGCCAGAACCGTTAAACATGTCACCTTATCCAAAAAAAATAGGTCTAAAATATATAATATAGCTATAATAATGCTATAATGACATAAAGATATAATATAGCTATAATGATGCTATAATGACATAAAGATATAATATAGCTATAATAATGGTGTCCCATTACTCTCTGCTCCAATAAAAACATATGCTTGCTGTTCCTAATCTTCACCAGCAGAGGGAGCGGTCACTCCGCCTAACCTGCTGAATTACACCCCCTGGTGGTGTAAAGTGTCAACACACTGACATATACATGTAAACGTCATAACCCCCTGGGTGACAAACCCAGGTGTCTTCTGTGAAAGTGTGTGATTGTTGTCGCAGCAGTGTGTATCTGTTGTGCCACTTGTGTGTGTGTATGAGATAACTGTGTGTATTCCTATAATGTGTGTGTTGCACTATTAAAAGGTACTGTGGCTAAAGCAGGCCAGAGCCAGCCAGTCCTGCTGCTGTCATGTTGAATAGTGATGGAGGGATGATGCAATGACAGAGATGGAGGAATGAAATAAAGAGTTCCTCTCCCCCTTTCCCACTCTCCATCTCCAAATAAGGAAGGGGTGAATACAGTCCTGCTAAAACAACTTCCCAGAGGGTTAGAATGTCCCGATAAAAAGTTTGAACTTTCTACTTATTATTACTTAGGAGCATTTGGCTACGGACGGAAGCTGCTTAGAATCAGGGTTGGGATTAATTCCATAAATTAAATTCTAATTAAATTCCCTGTAAATTAAATTAAATTCCATTCAAATTCCAGGTCAGTCTTTGAATTCAGAGATAATTAAAATAATCTCTATTCCATTGTTAGGTAATTCAATTCCCAATTCAATATTATCCCCAACAATTCCACAAATGTAAACTCAATTCCCTCTGGCTTCTAGGCTGATCGTGTCACTGGTTCAGCCAGCCTAGCTATATTGGAAATATAGAAATACAAGTGTTAATGATTGTTTTGTTTTATCCTGCAGTCAATGTATGATACTATGTGCAACAATTCGATTAACTGGGAAGTGTAAAAATATTGAATTTCAATTCAATTCCAAAAGATTAAATGTTTTTACAATTCCAATTTTAAAAATCCAAACAGTCTAATTCCAATTCAATTCCAATTCCATAACTTGAAGAATTCAATTCAACGTAAATTCTCCACTTCATGAGTGAATTCAAATAAAATTGGAATCGATACAAATCCTGCTTAGAACCATTTAAAATCACTCTATTACAAACTAAAGATGGGAAACCACCACTGTACCTCACAATTCTGGGGTTTCTGTACTTTAGTATTTATATTTGTTACAACTTTTACTTCACTACATTCCTAGGAGAAAATAATGTACCTTTTACTCCATACGTTTTCCCTGACACCCAAAAGTCCTCGTTACATTTAGCAGGACAGAAAATGGTCCAATTCATTTTACATTTTAGTAATTTAGCAGACGCTCTTATCCAGAGCGACTTACAGTTACAGTGGGGAAAAAAAGTATTTAGTCAGCCACCAATTGTGCAGGTTCTTCCACTTAAGATGAGAGAGGCCTGTAATTTTCATCATAGGTACACGTCAACTATGACAGACAAAATGAGAAGAAAAAAAAAAACGAGAAAATCACATTGTAGGATTTTTAATGAATTTATTTGCAAATTATGGTGGAAAATAAGTATTTGGTCAATAACAAAAGTTTCTCAATACTTTGTTTATATACCCTTTGTTGGCAATGACACAGGTCAAAACGTTTTCTGTAAGTCTTCACAAGGTTTTCACACACTGTTGCTGGTATTTTGGCCCATTCCTCCATGCACATCTCCTCTAGAGCAGTGATGTTTTGGGGCTGGTCGCTGGGCAACACGGACTTTCAAACTCCCTCCAAAGATTTTCTATGGGGTTGAGATCTGGAGACTGGCTAGGCCACTCCAGGACCTTGAAATGCTTCTTACGAAGCCACTCCTTCGTTGCCCAGGCGGTGTGTTTGGGATCATTGTCATGCTGAAAGACCCAGCCACGTTTCATCTTCATGCCCTTGCTGATGGAAGGAGGTTTTCACTCAAAATCTCACGATACATGGCCCCATTCATTCTTTCCTTTACAGGGATCAGTCCGTCCTGGTCCCTTTGCAGAAAAACAGCCCCAAAGCATGATGTTTCCACCCCCTTAGGGGGGGGGGGGGGGGGGGGGGGGGGGGGGGGGGGGGGGGGGGGGGGGGGGGGGGGGGGGGTTTTTTTTTTTTTTTTTTTTTTTTTTTTTTTTTTTTTTTTTTTTTTTTTTTTTTTTTTTTTTTTTTTTTTTTTTTTTTTTTTTTTTTTTTTTTTTTTTTTTTTTTTTTTTTTTTTTTTTCGGCCTTTTTTTTTTTGGGGGCCAAAGGGTTTTTGGATTTAGGTTTGGTTTTAAGGTTTTTTTTTTTCCCCCCTTTTTTTGGAAGGACTTCCATAAATTCCCCCCCCCTTTTTTTAAAATTTGAAAAAGGGGGTCAATTTTTTCCCCCTTATTGGGAGTGCTTTTTTTTTAAGCCCCCCGGGAAACCCCCCCAAAATTTTTTTTAAGCCCAGGGGAAAACCCAACCTTTTAAGCCCCCGGGCTTCCCACTCCCTCTATGGGCACCCCCCCCTTTTTTTAAAAAGCTCTTTTTAAACCCGGTTTTTGGAAAAAAAAAATTTGGGGGAAAAAAAAAAAAAAAGAAATTTTTTCTTTTTATTTGAATTAAAATTAAACCAAATACTTTTAGACTTTTACTTAAGTAGTATTTAACTGGGTGACTTTCACTTTTACTAGAGTCATTTTCTATTAAGGTATCTTAACATTTTACTCAAGTATGACAAATTGGGTACTTTTTCCACCACTGGTCAGTGATCACTTCCGCATCTGTCAGTACCGGCCAGGGTATGAGGTGAATTAAGGTGAGTGTGTATCAGGTCAGGTTCGCTGGTTGTCTCATATGGCCCATAGGGGTTTGGTCAATTATTGTGCACTGTACAGGGATTAGGGTGCCATCTGGGATGCAACCCTTACCTACAACACCTGTCGATAGCTGAGCAACCTTCCTAACAGAAGAGATGACATCATATCCTGTCAAACTAGTGACATCACTTCCTATTTTGATCCCAGGTGTTCCCCCTCTCTCTATGCCTCTATTTCCACACTCACTCTGTCTAGGACACAAAGGGTGAGCTCACACAGACCACACACGATGGAGAGAGGGATGAGGAGAGAGGGATGAAGAGAGAGGGATGAGGAGAGAGGGATGATGGAAGGAGGGACGGAGAGAAAGATGGGTGTTATTGTGCAAAAGCTTTCCAAAATTCCTTGGTTTTCCCGAAATCACGCTTAAAGAATTTCAGGTTTGAGGATTCACTGGAGATTGTTGATTCTAGAAAACCTCCAACCGGGATTTCTGGAAAACCAGACAATTTCAGACAAGTTTAGTGATTTTTCCAACCCTACTGGGGGGTTGGGGTGCAGGTGGAACGTTAGTAACAGGACAAAAAAAAAAGACAAAAAAAAAAGACTTCACTCAAAACCAACGGCAAAAAAAGGGGCCAGCCACAGAATAGAGAGGGTAAAGGTCAGAGGTCAAGGCACAGGGAAATTCAAAACAAAAAGCGTGACGAAACACCAAACGAGGGGGAGAATTTTGGTAGCCTCCCAAATAACACACTATTCCCTACATAGTGCACCAGAGGCTCTGGTCAGAAGTAGTGAACTATATAGGGAAAAGGGGGCCATTTGGGAGGCAAATAATATAATTATATATATAAATAAATATCAAATGAAGACTGAAAAAGGGGTTATTATCGTGGGGGATGTAGTTGCCTACCTTCTCGGAAATCTGAAGGAGAGATTTCTACAAAAACACAGAGGGGGGAAGGAAGAAAAAAAAAAGAAAAAAATGTACATTCACTGACTGAAGTTGTTTCACAAGGGTAGATTTATCAACAGAGAGGGTAGATTTATCAACAGAGAGGGTAGATTTATCAACAGAGAGGGTAGATTTATCAACAGAGAGGGTAGATTTATCAACAGAGGGTAGATGTATCAACAGAGAGGGTAGATTTATCAACAGAGAGGGTAGATGTATCAACAGAGAGGGTAGATTTATCAACAGAGAGGGTAGATTTATCAACAGAGAGGGTAGATTTATCAACAGAGAACAATTGAGAGCAATGTGGGCATCCCAAATGGCACCCTATTCCCTATATAGTGCACTATTGAGCTCTGTGGGATCTGGTCAAAAGTAGTGCACTATATAGGGAATAGGGTGCCATTTGGGATGTACAATTTATTCAGCATTTAACTGTCTAACTGAGCCTGTTACTATAGTTGTGGGATTCAGGATTCAAAAACCAACAAAACCCTGTTATATATCTATTTTAAGTCTCAAGAACTTCTTGAAAAGTAGGTTTTTGACTTAACAAGGTCTATTTTTATTTATTTATTTTTTTACATAGAAAACCCCCCTGAAAATACCCAAATAAACTTTGAATAAATTAATAAAAAAACGATTTGACAACCCCAATAAAATGCTGCATCATAGTTTTATGAGCTTATCAGATGAGTGAAGATAATTTCATGAGGAGTTTAATACTGGATGGCACCAATGATGTGTAGGAACCCTGGATAACAGACAGGGGGCGCCGTATTGAAGCCACTGCAAGGCGATGTAAGTGTAGGAAAGCATGAAACAGCGTCTGTGCCACCAGTAAGTACAGATAGTAGTATAAATCCCCTCGCACAGTCCCCGCAGCAGGACAATTTTCTCAAGGCTTCTGGAAAAGAAATGCTGTCGGCATGCTCAACCCGTGTCGCTCATTCAGCCGACAGCAACTTTCAACCGGTTCTCTCCGTTAAGCAACGAGTCGAGTCGGAGTCAGAGGCCGAGCCTTCTCAGGTCTCTCCTCCACCCGTTACGGGGTCTGAGCCGCCGAAGCCTCCCGCCATTAGCTCGGACAAATTGAAAACCCTAGTCATTGGCGAATCCATTACCCGCAGTATTACATTTAAATGAATCATCCAGCGATCATACACTGTTTACCAGGGGGCAGGGCTACCGACGTAAAGGCTAATCTGAAGATGGTGCTAGCTAAGGGTAAAACTGGTGAGTGTAGCGAGTGTAGGGAGATTGTTATCCACGTCGGCACCAACGATGTTAGGATGAAACAGTCAGAGGTCACCAAGCGCAACATAGCTTCAGTGTGTAAATTAGCTAGAAAAAATGTTGGCATCGAGTAATTGTCCCTGGCCCCTCCCAGTTAGGGGGAGTGATGAGCTCTACAGCAGAGTCTCACAACTCAATCGCTGGTTGAAAACTGACCATGCCTCAGGACTACCTGGCCTGATGACTGGCTGTCCCCAGTCCACCTGGTCGTGCTGCTGCTCCAGTTTCACCTGTTCTGCCTGCGGTTCACCAGACGTGCTGCCTTGTCCAAGACCTGCTGTTTTCAACTAGCTCTCTCTACCGCACCTGCCATTTCAACCTCTAAATGCCCGGCTATGAAAAGCCAAGTGACATTTACTCATTTTACATTTTAGTCATTTAGCAGACGCTCTTATCCAGAGCGACTTACAGGAGCAATTAGGGTTAAGTGCCTTGCTCAAGGGCACGTCGACAGGTTTTTCACCTAGTCAGCTCGGGGATTAGAACCAGCGACCTTTCGGTTACTGGCACAACGCTCTTAACCACTAAGATACCTGCCGCCCCAGTCCTCCTGATGTACTGACCTGTGGCAACCTCTACAACCACACTGATTCTTATTTGACCCTGTCACCTATGAAAGTTTTAAACATCTTGGAGAACAATCTGGCCTTAATGGCCATGTAGCGTTATAATCTCCACCCGGCACAGCCAGAAGGGGACTGGCCACCCTTCAGAGCCTGGTTCCTCTCTACCCAGTACAGCCAGAAGAGGACTGGGCACCCCTCAGAGCCTGGTTCCTCTCTACCCAGCACAGCCAGAAGGGGACTGGCCACCCCTCAGAGCCTGGTTCCTCTAGGTTTCTTCCTTTCTAGGGAGTTTTTCCCAGCCACCGTGCTTCTACCTCTGCATTGCTTGCTGTTTGGGGTTTTATGCTGGGTTTCTGTATAGCACTTTGTGACATCTGCTGATGTAAAAAGGGCTTTATAAATACATTAGATTGATCGATTGATTGATCGATTGATTGATTGATTATCTTCCTATAGCGGTTCACTAGGACCACATTTTCCATTCATAAACCATGACGTGGGCCGTTCTAACACTACTCGCACGTCGACATCGTTAACCGTTTGTTTACACTTTGTTCAGTCATGTTACCTCACTGGCTAGCTGGTAACTTCACATTTGGGGGCACAGAAAGAAATGAAAAGGGATAGCTTCTTCAGGAGATGAATGATCATAGCAATGAATGAATGACAGATCTCTTGCATGTCGTCACAAACCTGACGTTTTTAAAAGGAGAGTGTAACCTTTTCAATGTAATGCATCTCAATAGTGCCTTTACACAATGTAGAAGCATAATACTCCACAGGTATTCCTGTATTTACAGTGTAACATGTAACATATTAGTTTCTAGGGAACATGGTGCTTCCAAAGTAGCTAGAATTTATATAGGCCCAATATAGGCTGCATCTCAATCAATTAAACAAAATAATAATTTTATGGTGCTACCAATTAAAAACGTTCATTTAGAGCCCTGTGTGTTCAAGAGAGTATTTTGGGAGACGTTAAAGAAAGTAAGTGAGAGAATATCAAAGTGTGAACGAAGCAGAGGCTGCTAAGTCAGAGAGAGAGAGAGAGAGAGAGAGAGAGAGAGAGAGAGAGAGAGAGAGAGAGAGAGCGAGAGAGAGAGATAGAGAGAGAGAGAGAGAGAGAGAAGAGAGAGAGAGAGAGAGAGAGAGAGAGAGAGAGAGAGAGAATGTGTGTGTCAAGGTGTCCCCACCATCGGTATTTATAGTTGTGGTAAAGTGATACCTCTGCTGTAACCATGACTACTGTCGCTACGGAGGAGGAGGAGGAGGCATCTTACAGTAGGAGGCCAAAGTGTGTCTTTGTGTTGTGCACAACACTCACAGGAATGGGACTCACAGAAATGGGACTCACAGGAATGGGACTCACGGGAATGGGACTCACGGGAATGGGACTCACGGGAATGGGACTCACGGGAATGGGACTCACGGGAATGGGACTCACGGGAATGGGACTCACGGGAATGGGACTCACGGGAATGGGACTCACGGGAATGGGACTCACGGGAATGGGACTCACGGGAATGGGACTCACGGGAATGGGACTCACGGGAATGGGACTCACGGGAATGGGACTCACGGGAATGGGACTCACGGGAATGGGACTCACAGGATAGATAGAGGACAGGAGAGGTGATGTCATCTAAGAATAAAAGACCTGACGATAACCTGTCTGTCTGTCTGTGTATCTGTCTGTCTGTGTGTCTGTCTGTGTGTCTGTCTGTCTGTGTGTCTGTCTGTCTGTCTGTGTGTCTGTCTGTCTGTCTGTCTGTGTGTCTGTCTGTCTGTCTGTGTGTCTGTCTGTCTGTCTGTCTGTGTGTCTGTCTGTCTGTCTGTGTGTCTGTCTGTCTGTCTGTGTGTCTGTCTGTCTGTCTGTGTGTCTGTCTGTCTGTCTCTGTGTCTGTCTCTGTGTCTGTCTCTGTGTCTGTCTCTGTGTCTGTCTCTGTGTCTGTCTCTGTGTCTGTCTCTGTGTCTGTCTCTGTGTCTGTCTCTGTGTCTGTCTCTGTGTCTGTCTCTGTGTCTGTCTCTGTGTCTGTCTGTCTAGTCAAAACCCTCCATTGGCTCTATACCCTTAACCACAGACTACCTCCCTCCACCTTCTTTCCTTCCCCCCCATCCCCCCCTTCTCTCCACTCCTCTCTCCCTCACCAACCTTCCATTTCCTCCATTTCATCTCAATTTTGTCCTCCGCTCCTTTCCTGCTCTACCTCCCTCTCCTCCATCCCCTTCTTCCCCTCACTCCCGCCTCCTCCTCCTCCTCCTCCTGGACTCACCTGCGTACGAACTTGGAGGTGAACTTGGAGAAGATACCGGTGGCCCCAGGTCTCCTGGTCTGGCTGTTGCCGTGGCTGAGGGAGGGGGAGACTGGCGCCCCCGGAGAACCCTGCTGGTCTTTGGCACCTCTCTGCTGTCCTGTTACAGTGTACAGATAGATACATATTACATCGTTATTTAAAAACACACTGTGGACACCTCAGACAAGAGTTTTGAGACACTGTCGGCATGCATAGTAGGTTACAGTTTGAGGTCCCTCTCTGCTGACCGTTAACAGTTTGAGGTCCCTCTCTGCTGACCGTTAACAGTTTGAGGTCCCTCTCTGCTGACCGTTAACAGTTTGAGGTCCCTCTCTGCTGACCGTTAACAGTTTGAGGTCCCTCTCTGCTGACCGTTAACAGTTTGAGGTCCCTCTCTGCTGACCGTTAACAGTTTGAGGTCCCTCTCTGCTGACCGTTAACAGTTTGAGGTCCCTCTCTGCTGACCGTTAACAGTTTGAGGTCCCTCTCTGCTGACCGTTAACAGTTTGAGGTCCCTCTCTGCTGACCGTTAACAGTTTGAGGTCCCTCTCTGCTGACCGTTAACAGTTTGAGGTCCCTCTCTGCTGACCGTTAACAGTTTGAGGTCCCTCTCTGCTGACCGTTAACAGTTTGAGGTCCCTCTCTGCTGACCGTTAACAGTTTGAGGTCCCTCTCTGCTGACCGTTAACAGTTTGAGGTCCCTCTCTGCTGACTGTTACAGTTTGAGGTCCCTCTCTGCTGACCGTTACAGTTAGAGATCCCCCTCTGCTGACCGTTACAGAGTACCACAGGTGTGCTTCAGTAGCTTCAACCTGATCGCTGTGGAGCCGGAACAGCGTGTTTGGGGAAGTATAATAGAATGTAATATTACCTGCGTGGAAGGTGCTGCGGATGGCCACCCCCCGGGAGAAGTTGGTCCGGTCCGTCACCGCGGAGCTGCTGATGTTGTGGGCTGAGGGGGACGCGCCAGGTGGCCTCTGGTGGGGAGCGCTGTTAGGAGATGGAGGGGTGGGTTAGAGTAGTGAACTTTCATATAAAACACTGGGTACACTACCTTCACTACTACGTGGCTAAGGTGCACTATGGGCTATATAATAGAATGTGGCCGCTACCCTCCAACATTGGTCAGAGCCAAGTCCTTCACACCTGAGGCACCAATTCCATTACTGTGATGGAGAGATAATCTGGAATGGGATAAAAATGTGTCTGTCCCCAGAGTGTGCATGTGTGTTCGTGTGTGTGTGTGTGTGTGTGTGTGTGTGGTGTTCGTGTGTGTGTGTGTTCGTGTGTGTGTGTGTTCGTGTGTGTGTGTGTGTTCGTGTGTGTGTGTGTGTGTTGTGTGTGTGTGTGTGTTCGTGTGTGTGTGTGTGTTCGTGTGTGTGTGTTCGTGTGTGTGTGTGTGTTCGTTCGTGTGTGTGTGTGTGTTCGTGTGTGTGGTGTTCGTGTGTGTGTGTTCGTGTGTGTGTGTTCGTGTGTGTGTGTGTGTGTGTGTGTTCGTGTGTGTGTGTGTGTGTGTGTGTTCGTGTGTGTGTGTGTGTTCGTGTGTGTGTGTGTGTGTTTGTTTGTGTGTCCTGATGTTTTACATAATCCACAAAGCCATCAGAGCTGATGTTTGGGGTTGGAGAGAGATCAGGTCAGTAAGCACACCCACACACACACACACTGAACACACACACGTTAATCCTCTTAGTCTAGAGACCTGTCTTTCTCTCTGAGACACACAATCATCATCATCATCATCATCATTTAATCCTGTGTCACTATGACAGTGGAGACTTTGGATTTCAAAAATCAGAGAACCTGGGATCTCTGAATCCAGCCTGTCTGTGGGTCTGTCTCTCTGAGAGTCCTGTTTCCAGCTGGCCTCTGCACCCCTGTAGCTATACCCTCTCTGGACTCACCACACACACACACACACACACACACGCACACACGCACGCACACACGCACTATCCTGAGGTAAGCCTGGGCTGTGTTCAGTAGGTACAAAACGATACAAACATTAAAACTGCTGAGGAGTATTTCTGTCTGTAATAAAGCCCTTTTGTGGGGAAAAAACGTATTCTGATTGGCTGGGCCTGGCTCCCGTGTGGGTGGGCCTATGCCCTCCTATGCCCACCCATGGCTGTGCCCCTGCCAAGTCATGTGAAATCCATAGATTAGGGCCTATATTTCCTTATATGAACTGTAACTCAGTAAAATATTTGAAATTGTTGCGTGCGTTTATATTTTTGTTCAACATATTTAATTTAGTTTGGTTTTCCGTTAAAATTATAAGAGAAAATCATTAAATTCCTTGTAAATTTACAATTCAGAATAATGGTCTTAAGTTTGTATGATCGCTACGGTCGAATAATGAAGTTCTACCTACCACAGTCATACAGGCCTACCCTTGAAAGCGGCGTGGCTACGACATGTTTGTTTATCTGTAAGGGTACACTACGGCTTTTTAAATGCCAACACGACACAAAACCTTTTCTGTTGATAGTTTCGAAGCGCCACTGAATGGCCATTTTACTTGTCTTCTGAAGTGGGACTAAAGTCCATCACTTGGGATTATGGCTAGAAGGGATGCATCGTTTCTCAAATGTTCGTAGCAGGTTAGGAGAATTTACGCAGTAGGTTGACAAAAGCTGGATCCCTTCTAGCCATGACCATCACTAAACGACCAGAACTGTCAATCAAATAATCTCGAGCTGCCTGCTTGCTGCCTGCACGCAGACATTTAAGTCATTTAGCAGACGCTCTTATCCAGAGCGACTTACAGTCTGGCCCCCCGTGGGAATCGAACCCACAACCCTGTCGTTGCAAACGCCATGCTCTACCAACTGAGCTACATCCCTGCCGGCCATTCCCTCCCCTACCCTGGACGACGCGGGGCCAATTGTGCGCCGCCCCATGGGTCTCCCGGTTCCGGCCGGCTACGACAGAGCCTGGATTCGAACCAGGATCTCTAGTGACACAGCTAGACCACTCTCTCCTAAAAAAGAACCTTTAAAGCATGTTAAATATCGTGACTTACCAAGACATTTAGTAGAAAGAAAACAAATCTTTCAGTATATTTACTGTATTCCGAGAACACGAACAATCAAACACTCGCATCTTTCATAATGAGCAAGCGAGGGACGGAGAGAGGGGGGAGGGGCACAGCATAGGCAGGTCAGCCACCAGACAGACAGTCAGAACCGTGCACTAGGCCGATTTATCAGTATAGGCAGGTCAGCCACCAGACAGACAGACAGAACCCTGCACTAGGCCTATCTATCAGTATAGGCAGGTCGGTCACCAGACAGACAGTCAGAACCGTGCACTAGGCCTATCTATCAGTATAGGCAGGTCGGTCACCAGACAGACAGTCAGAACCGTGCACTAGGCCTATCTATCAGTATAGGCAGGTCAGCCACCAGACAGACAGAACCGTGCACTAGGCCTATCTATCAGTATAGGCAGGTCAGCCACCAGACAGACAGTCAGAACCGTGCACTAGGCCTATCTATCAGTATAGGCAGGTCAGCCACCAGACAGACAGTCAGAACCGTGCACTAGGCCTATCTATCAGTATAGGCAGGTCAGCCACCAGGCAGACAGTCAGAACCATGCACTAGGCCTATCTATCAGTATAGGCAGGTCAGCCACCAGACAGACAGAACCGTGCACTAGGCCTATCTATCAGTATAGGCAGGTCAGCCACCAGACACAGTCAGAACCGTGCACTAGGCCTATCTATCAGTATAGGCAGGTCAGCCACCAGACAGACAGTCAGAACCGTGCACTAGGCCTATCTATCAGTATAGGCAGGTCAGCCACCAGACAGACAGTCAGAACCGTGCACTAGGCCTATCTATCAGTATAGGCAGGTCAGCCACCAGACAGACAGTCAGAACCGTGCACTAGGCCTATCTATCAGTATAGGCAGGTCAGCCACCAGACAGACAGTCAGAACCATGCACTAGGCCTATCTATCAGTATAGGCAGGTCAGCCACCAGACAGACAGAACCGTGCACTAGGCCTATCTATCAGTATAGGCAGGTCAGCCACCAGACAGACAGTCAGAACCGTGCACTAGGCCTATCTATCAGTATAGGCAGGTCAGCCACCAGACAGACAGTCAGAACCGTGCACTAGGCCTATCTATCAGTATAGGCAGGTCAGCCACCAGACAGACAGTCAGAACCGTGCACTAGGCCTATCTATCAGTATAGGCAGGTCAGCCACCAGGCAGACAGTCAGAACCATGCACTAGGCCTATCTATCAGTATAGGCAGGTCAGCCACCAGACAGACAGTCAGAACCATGCACTAGGCCTATCTATCAGTATAGGCAGGTCAGCCACCAGGCAGACAGTCAGAACCATGCACTAGGCCTATCTATCAGTATAGGCAGGTCAGCCACCAGGCAGACAGTCAGAACCATGCACTAGGCCTATCTATCAGTATAGGCAGGTCAGCCACCAGACAGACAGAACCGTGCACTAGGCCTATCTATCAGTATAGGCAGGTCAGCCACCAGACAGACAGAACCGTGCACTAGGCCTATCTATCAGTATAGGCAGGTCAGCCACCAGACACAGTCAGAACCGTGCACTAGGCCTATCTATCAGTATAGGCAGGTCAGCCACCAGACAGACAGTCAGAACCGTGCACTAGGCCTATCTATCAGTATAGGCAGGTCAGCCACCAGACAGACAGTCAGAACCGTGCACTAGGCCTATCTATCAGTATAGGCAGGTCAGCCACCAGACAGACAGTCAGAACCGTGCACTAGGCCTATCTATCAGTATAGGCAGGTCAGCCACCAGACAGACAGTCAGAACCATGCACTAGGCCTATCTATCAGTATAGGCAGGTCAGCCACCAGACAGACAGAACCGTGCACTAGGCCTATCTATCAGTATAGGCAGGTCAGCCACCAGACAGACAGTCAGAACCGTGCACTAGGCCTATCTATCAGTATAGGCAGGTCAGCCACCAGACAGACAGTCAGAACCGTGCACTAGGCCTATCTATCAGTATAGGCAGACAGTCAGAACCATGCACTAGGCCTATCTATCAGTATAGGCAGGTCAGCCACCAGACAGACAGTCAGAACCATGCACTAGGCCTATCTATCAGTATAGGCAGGTCAGCCACCAGGCAGACAGTCAGAACCATGCACTAGGCCTATCTATCAGTATAGGCAGACAGTCAGAACCATGCACTAGGCCTATCTATCAGTATAGGCAGGTCAGCCACCAGACAGACAGAACCGTGCACTAGGTCTATCTATCAGTATAGGCAGGTCAGCCACCAGACAGACAGTCAGAACCGTGCACTAGGCCTATCTATCAGTATAGGCAGGTCAGCCACCAGACAGACAGTCAGAACCGTGCACTAGGCCTATCTATCAGTATAGGCAGGTCAGCCACCAGACAGTCAGAACCGTGCACTAGGCCTATCTATCAGTATAGGCAGGTCAGCCACCAGACAGACAGTCAGAACCGTGCACTAGGCCTATCTATCAGTATAGGCAGGTCAGCCACCAGACAGACAGTCAGAACCGTGCACTAGGCCTATCTATCAGTATAGGCAGGTCAGCCACCAGACAGACAGACAGAACCGTGCACTAGGCCTATCTATCAGTATAGGCAGGTCAGCCACCAGACAGACAGTCAGAACCGTGCACTAGGCCTATCTATCAGTATAGGCAGGTCAGCCACCAGACAGACAGTCAGAAACCGTGCACTAGGCCTATCTATCAGTATAGGCAGGTCAGCCACCAGACAGACAATCTATCAGTATAGGCAGGTCAGCCACCAGACAGACAGTCAGAACCGTGCACTAGGCCCATCTATCAGTATAGTCAGGTCAGCCACCAGACAGACAGTCAGAACCGTGCACTAGGCCTATCTATCAGTATAGGCAGGTCAGCCACCAGACAGACAGAACCGTGCACTAGGCCTATCTATCAGTATAGGCAGATCAGCCACCAGACAGACAGTCAGAACCGTGCACTAGGCCTATCTATCAGTATAGGCAGGTCAGCCACCAGACAGACAGTCAGAACCGTGCACTAGGCCTATCTATCAGTATAGGCAGGTCAGCCACCAGACAGTCAGAACCGTTCACTAGGCCTATCTATCAGTATAGGCAGGTCAGCCACCAGACAGACAGTCAGAACCGTGCACTAGGCCTATCTATCAGTATAGGCAGGTCAGCCACCAGACAGACAGTCAGAACCGTGCACTAGGCCTTTCTATCAGTATAGGCAGGTCAGCCACCAGACAGACAGTCAGAACCGTGCACTAGGCCTTTCTATCAGTATAGGCAGGTCAGCCACCAGACAGACAGTCAGAACCGTGCACTAGGCCTTTCTATCAGTATAGGCAGGTCAGCCACCAGGCAGACAGTCAGAACCGTGCACTAGGCCCATCTATCAGTAATCAAAAGCTGAATCTCACAATGGAATTCTGTATTTCACAATTTATTGGCTTGCAATGTCTCACAACTTCAGTAAAGCAGGGCCTATCATCAATGAATAGGATAGTATATTCTACAGGCAACAGACTGAAGACTGAACACACACTGGCATCATTAGTGAAGAGAAAGAGCAGGCCAGCCAGCTGCACTGGGATTTACATTTTGTATTTTAAAAAAATAGTTATTAGGGATTTCTTCACACCCCTATTTCAAACCTCTGTCAATAACAGCTAGTTTTCCACTCCCAGACAGTCCAAGCAAAATTCTTGTTGAGAAATTGCTCTTTGCTAAGAAGCTATTTTTGTTTGTTTTTGACAACTTTAATGGAAAACAATCAAAGTAACGTACTTAATTATTACCCAGAAATCCTTTGATATTGAGATAAAAACGGCCACATTGGACCTTTAAAGCTTAAATTACAGTGCATTAATGTAACAAAAATTACATTTTGGGGGAATAGTAGTTTAAAAATGTGGATACCAATATCCTGAGTCTCTCAGGCCCACCTTGCCCACTTACTGTACATTTACTGTATTCTGCTATTCCCTAAAACCCTCTCCACCTACTTACTGTACATTTACTGTATTCTGCTATTCCCTAAAACCCTCTCCACCTACTTACTGTACATTTACTGTATTCTGCTATTCCCTAAAACCCTCTCCACCTACTTACTGTACATTTACTGTATTCTGCTATTCCCTAAAACCCTCTCCACCCACTTACTGTACATTTACTGTATTCTGCTATTCCCTAAAACCCTCTCCACCTACTGACTGCACATTTACTGTATTCTGCTATTCCCTAAAACCCTCTCCACCTACTTACTGTACATTTACTGTATTCTGCTATTCCCTAAAACCCTCTCCACCCACTTACTGTACATTTACTGTATTCTGCTATTCCCTAAAACCCTCTCCACCTACTTACTGTACATTTACTGTATTCTGCTATTCCCTAAAACCCTCTCCACCTACTTACTGTACATTTACTGTATTCTGCTATTCCCTAAAACCCTCTCCACCTACTTACTGTACATTTACTGTATTCTGCTATTCCCTAAAACCCTCTCCACCTACTTACTGTACATTTACTGTATTCTGCTATTCCCTAAAACCCTCTCCACCTACTTACTGTACATTTACTGTATTCTGCTATTCCCTAAAACCCTCTCCAACCTACTGACTGTACATTTACTGTATTCTGCTATTCCCTAAAACCCTCTCCACCTACTTACTGTACATTTACTGTATTCTGCTATTCCCTAAAACCCTCTCCACCCACTTACTGTACATTTACTGTATTCTGCTATTCCCTAAAAACCCTCTCCACCTACTTACTGTATTCTGCTATTCCCTAAAACCCTCTCCACCTACTTACTGTACATTTACTGTATTCTGCTATTCCCTAAAACCCTCTCCACCTACTTACTGTATTCTGCTATTCCCTAAAACCCTCTCCACCTACTTACTGTACATTTACTGTATTCTGCTATTCCCTAAAACCCTCTCCACCTACTTACTGTACCTTTACTGTATTCTGCTATTCCCTAAAACCCTCTCCACCTACTTACTGTACATTTACTGTATTCTGCTATTCCCTAAAACCCTCTCCACCTACTTACTGTACCTTTACTGTATTCTGCTATTCCCTAAAACCCTCTCCACCTACTTACTGTACATTTACTGTATTCTGCTATTCCCTAAAACCCTCTCCACCTACTTACTGTACCTTTACTGTATTCTGCTATTCCCTAAAACCCTCTCCACCTACTTACTGTACATTTACTGTATTCTGCTATTCCCTAAAACCCTCTCCACCTACTTACTGTACCTTTACTGTATTCTGCTATTCCCTAAAACCCTCTCCACCTACTTACTGTACATTTACTGTATTCTGCTATTCCCTAAAACCCTCTCCACCTACTTACTGTACATTTACTACTGGTTTGTGTTTTGTTCTAGATTGCAGTAAATGGCAGTTACAGGTGTTCAAAAACGAACAAATCTCTTAGTCCAAACAGAGCACTGCCGTACTTCGCCGTACCCCGTGTCTCCGCCGTACCCCGTGTCCCCGCCATACTCGGCAGCACCACCTTGTAAAAAAAAATCCTGTGGAGAACCCTGCTTCTCTCCAGGTTTCCCAATCAGGTTCTGAACAGCCCAAGCTTACTGCGTGCAACAGACCAGGACTTCAACATTAACACCAGGAGAAGCTGAACAAACACCAGGAGAAGGAGAACGTCAAATGAGCGTCTTCCTTTTTAGTTCAGGGGTTGACAGAGTTGTTTGTGTGTTTGTCCCCACAGTGACCGTACGTACATACCCCAACCAGAAGCCATGGATTACAGGCAACATCCGCTAAAGGGTAGAGCTGCCGCTTTCAAGGAGCGGGACTCTAGCCCGGACGCTTATTTGAAATCCCGCTATGCCCTCCGACGAACCATCAAACAGGCAAAGAGTCAATACAGGACTTACATTTAATCGTACTACACCGGCTCTGACGCTCATCGGATGTGGCAGGGCTCGAAAACGATTATTACAGACTACAAAGGGAAGCCCAGCTGCGAGCTTCCCAGTGACACAAGCCTACCAGACGAGCTAAACCACTTCTATGCTCGCTTCGAGGCAAGCAACACTGAAGCATGCATGAGAGCACCAGCTGTTCCGGATGACTATGTGATCACGCTCTCCGTAGCCGATGTGAGTAAGAGTTTTAAGCAGGTCAGAATTCACAAGGCCGCAGGGCCAGACGGATTACCAGGACGTGTACTCCAAGCATGCGCTGACCAACTGGAAAGTGTCTTCACTGACATTTTCAACATGTCCCTGACTGAGTCTGTAATACCAACATGTTTCAAGCAGACCACCATAGTCCCTGTGCCCAAGAACACTAAGGTAACCTGCCTAAATGACTACCGACCCGTAGCACCCACGTCTGTAGCCATGAAGTGCTTTGAAAGGCTGGTCATGGCTCACATCAACACCATTATCCCAGAAACCCTAGACCCACTCCAATTTGCATACCGCCCCAACAGATCCACAGATGATGCAATCTCTATTGCACTCCACACTGCCCTTTCCCACATGGACAAGAGGAACACCTACGTGAGAATGCTATTAATTGACTACAGCTCAGCGTTCAACACCATAGTGCCCTCAAAGCTCATCACTAAGCTAAGGACCCTGGGACTAAACACCTCCCTCTGCAACTGGATCCTGGACTCCCTGACGGGCCGCCCCCCAGGTGGTAAGGGTAGGTAACAACACATCTGCCACGCTGATCCTCAACACAGGGGCCCCTCAGGGGTGCTTGCTCAGTCCCCTCCTGTACTCCCTGTTCACCCATGACTGCATGGCCAGGCACGACTCCAACACCATCATTAAGTTTGCCGACGACACAACAGTGGTAGGCCTGATCACTGACAATGATGAGACAGCCTATAGGGAGGAGGTCAGAGACCTGGCCGTGTGGTGCCAGGATAACAACCTCTCCCTCAACGTGATCAAGACAAAGGAGATTATTATAGACTACAGGAAAAAAAAGAAGACTGAGCACCCCCCCATTCTCATCGACGGGGCTGTAGTGGAACAGGTTGCGAGCTTCAAGTTCCTTGGTGTCCTCATCACCAAACTATCATGGTCCAAACACACCTAGAAAGTCGTGAAGAGGGCACGACAAAGCCTATTCCCCCTCAGGAGACTGAAAAGATTTGGCATGGGTCTTCAGATCCTCAAAAAGTTCTACAGCTGCACCTTCAAGATTATCCTGACTGGTTGCATCACCGCCTGGTATGGCAACTGCTCGGCCTCCGACCGCAAGGCACTACAGAGGGTAGTGTGTACGGCCCAGTACATCACTGGGGCCAAGCTTCCTGCCATCCAGGACCTCTATACCAGGCGGTGTCAGAGGAAGGCCTTCAAAATTGTCAAAGACTCCAGCCACCCTAGTCATAGACTGTTCTCTCTGCTACCGCACGGCAAGCGGCACTGGAGTGACAAGTCTAGGTCCAAAAGGCTCCTTAAACAGCTTCTACCCACAAGCCATAAGTCATGAACAGCTAATCATGGCTACCCGGACTATTTGCATTGCCCCCCACCCCATCCCCCTCTTTTACGCTGCTGCTACTCTGTTTATTATTTATGCATAGTCACTTTAACTCTACCTACATGTACATAATACCTCAATTACCTCGACTAGCCGGTGCCCCCCCCACATTGACTCTGCACGGTACCCCCCCTGTATATAGCCTCCCTACTTTATTTTATTTTACTGCTGCTCTTAGTTATTTGCTTTTATGTTTTTACTTATCTATTTTTTACTTGAACACACTTTTTTTCTTTTCTTTTTAAACTTAAACTGCATCATGTTTGGGTATTAGGGCTTGGTCAGTAAGCAGGATGTTTCAAACTGTAAGGGTCTACCCTGTTGTTATTCGGGGCATGTCAATGACTGATCTGAGGGACTGGATGCATCTGAGAGACAGAGATGCATTTAAACCAGTCTAACACCCTTACCTGTCTCTTTAGACTGGAAGCATTGATCATTCAGTCATTCATTCATTCAGTCATTTCTATTTTTACATTTTTAGTCATTTAGCAGACGCTCTTATCCAGAGCGACTTACAGTTAGTGAGTCAAACTCACTCCCTCCCTCTCACAAACCATCGTCCTGTTCGCTCTCTCAGGATCTTTCTCAATTAATATTTTCTAAATTCCTTGCATCCTCTCTCCTCGTGTCCTTGTCAAAACCCATTGGAGAAGAAGGTCAGAGGGGAGGGACTTTCTCCTCAAATACGGTTGAGGCGGCGGCGAGGAATCACAAAAAGACATTGAGAAAGAGCCCAAGCGTTTACACATTCCCCCCTCATCTCTTCACTGGGTCTGTCTCTGTCTCTCCACGCCTGTCTCTCTACTCTCCCTGCCTCTCAAAAACCTCCCTCTCCCTCCCTCGCTCTCTCTCTTCCTTCTTTCTCTCTCTCTCTCTCTCTCTCTCTCTCTTTCCCTCTCGCTCCCTCGCTCTCTCTCTTCCTTCTTTCTCTCTCTCTCTCTTCTCTCTCTCTCGCTCTCACTCTCTCGCTCTCCTTTCTCTCCATCCCTCTCCCCTCCAGACCCGGGGCTCCAGGGAGGGGGTCTAGCAGGGTGTTGTATGGGGGTTAGAGGCCACTTGCCTGGGCCGGTGGTGCGGTGCGTGAGGCGGTGCGTGGAAGTCAGAGCCGGGACCGGGGGGTGGACAGGGGTGGTTGGAGGTGGACAGAGACTTGTGGTGGCGGGGACGGGAGGAAGAGGAGGAGGAGGAGGAGGAGAGGACGGCAGCAGCAGATGCGGTGGAGGCTCGGGACCCAGGGGTGTTCAGGCTGGTAGGGGGAGGGGAGCGCCCGCCCGACACACACACAAGCAGGGCGGGAGTGCGTGAGGGTGGGCAGGGCGTGGATGGGATGGGAAAAGCATGGTTAGGAGGAGCAAAACTTTAAACTTGCAGCATAGGGGAGGGGAAGGGAGAGGAGAGGGATGAGAAGGGGAGAGAGGACAGGAGCAAAAGAGTGGAAATAGACTTGTGTGTGTGTGTGTGTAGACTTGCAGGGCATGTGTATGCATCTGTTTTACCGAGAGAAGAGAACTGACAGTTGGAAAGGTAGAGAGAACTGACAGTTGGAAAGGTAGAGAGAACTGACAGTTGGAAAGGTAGAGAGAACTGACAGTTGGAAAGGTAGAGAGAACTGACAGTTGGAAAGGTAGAGAGAACTGACAGTTGGAAAGGTAGAGAGAACTGACAGTTGGGAAGGTGAGAGAAATGACAGTTGGCGGAAGGAAAAGGAAAACACGAGATGGCAGGGAGGGATTAGTACTGTATTTGTAAAGAGAAGGAGGAAGGGAAGAGAGTCTAACAAAACACAACGGGGAGCCGAGTAGAAAGTGTTGACAAGAGCTCAAAGACAAGAGGAGACAGAGAGGAGGGAGAAAGGAGGTGAGAGAAGAGAGACAGAGAGAGGAGCAGATAAAGACGGGGAGAGTCGACTGTAGCCGAAAGAATCATCATGGTGAACCCCCGAGGAGTTCACGAGGCACGGGTCAGACAGAGTAAAGATGGGAGAGACCGACCCTCCAGGGAGAGGAGAGTCGAGAGGAGAGAAACGAAGGAAAGAAGAGAGGGACCCGACGAGAAAGAACTTCGGCCACAGCAGACAACGAGGGATGAGAGAGAGAAAAGGAGACGAGACCGCGAGAGACCGACTGTGAAGATCACCAGCGAGGCCCCCAGCATAAGAGCACGCGAGTGAATAGAAGGATGAGGAGAGACTGAATGGGCAGAGAGACGAGAAAGACCTTGACGCGCATCGAGAGGACCCGCGAAGAAAGTAAAACTACAGAATAAAGATCCAACGCGAAAGAAGAGGAGAGAGGACCACCGACGAGAACACAGAGTGCACGATACGCGCGAAGACGGCAAAGAGAGTTGGAACGAGAGAGAAGAGAGAAACGGCCCGCAGCAGCTGCAGTCCCACACTAGCGAGAGTCAGCCACCAAACCTGAAGAACTATAATAACCACGTAGCGAAGCGGAACAAGAGAGAACAGATGAAACGGACGAGTTCGCCACAGCCTCGCTAGCCACCGAAGTCAGAAAGAGGCCAGTTAGTCACCGGATCGACGATTCCTGAACGATGCAGCCTTCCTCGCACCGAACCACGACACACAGAGAAGCAAAAGCCCAAGGGAGAAAACGAGGAGATTGACGCCCGACCGAAATAGATGATCCCCAGACCCCTCAGACACCTCTGGACCACGGCTCTTCGCTCCCCATAGAGACCAGACGCGCACGCAAAGAATCTCGCGAACTCTAACGACGCGAGATCGCATGAATGACTCCGCAGAGAGCAGACCTCTCGAGTGATCACCTATCCTGACATGACGCCTCCAAATGCTCCAGAGAAGCCCACGCAAGCAACCGAGCTTCGCATCCTGACCAGCCCCGCACCCGACCCCCGTTACATGTCGCATCCCCTTCCCCCCCCCACGCCATGCCCACCCCAAACGAGTCCCGATTCAACAGTGTACCCCCACCAACGCACCTCCCACGAATACGCGGATCAGAACCGGTACCGAGAGAGTGAACTAATACCAATACATGGAATGATCACCCGGAAAGCCATGAGACCCCATCTCCTTTGATGCACCTGTGCCGTCGATTCCCCCGAACTTCGAAGCCAGAAACAAGACGAGCTGAGCATTGCTCCGCAACCCGCTATGTGATACCCTGCGACACCCCATAGATGAGCGAGAGACAAGAACTCTGATCCTCCTAACACGAGCTGCCAGTACTTCACCTCGTATCGGACCGATCACCGTCCACCGAGGGATCTGTTACCCACTCCAGCCTACGCGCGGCCGCCAACCAACCCCCCATCCAAGCAGGTACCGACCCTTCGACAACCGACAATTACTTGAGCAGGCTCCCAGTTACACTCTCGCACCGAACAATACCGAGAGCCTCACCACCCCCCGAGGAGCGATTTTAAGCCCCGGGTCCTCTGGAGTCCCGAAGGAAGCACGGTATCCTCGCCCAGTGACGACATCCATGACATCCACGCACTGCCGCACCCGCCACTCCCTGCGCCTTCGGTCCGCCCGAGACCCTGATCCCAGGACGCAATTTCAGACGCACGCAATTTTCGTCAGGAGAAGCCTATCCCCCCACGGATTGCCTGGGCAGAGCCGCAAGTACTGACTTATCGTCGAGCAGGACGCCCTTGAAGCTGGGAGTGAGCGAGCAGGAAGTGAGGTAGATGAGAGAGAAAGCGAGAAAGAGGAGAGGACAGCTAAGGAGAGAGAGAGGGACAGCAAGAGAGAGAGAGGACAGCCCAAGCCAGCAAGAGAGGGAGAGGGAGAGGAAGAAAGAGAGAGAGTAGCAGCAAGAGAGAGCATGAGAGAAATGAAAGACGAGAGAGAAGTGAGGAAAGAAAAGTTTCGACGAGCGGCCCGCGAGAGAAAAGAGAGACGAGACAGGAACGAGCAACAACAGAAGTACCAGGACGCCGTCGACAGGTCCAGAGTGCAGGAAAAGAAAGAGAGGGAGAGAGAAAGAAAGAGAACCAGAGAGACCAAAAGACAATTAGAGGACGAGAGAGAAGAGAAAGAAAGAGAGAAGAGAGACGAAAGAATAGAAACATGTTAGAGAGAGAGAAAAAGCAAGGATGAGAGAGGACGATGACAGCAACGAGAGAGAGAGGAGAGAGGACGCAAGAGCGAGGAGAGAGACATGCAAAGAGAGACAGAGAGAGGAGAAGGTCAAGGAGGTCAAAGCAACAGACTGCTGATGACATAGTGAACAGAACGCCATACATAGCACAAAGGAGAGGAGGAAGACCGACAGACAGACGGACAGGGATTAGCCTGGCTTGTGGTTGGAAAAATAACAGTATTCATTCAGGCTGAGGACTGGAGTTGTGTGTGTGTGGTTAAGCCAAACTCTAGAGGCAGTCTGCAGACCCTTACAACACACACCACCAACAGACAGAGAGAGAGAGAGAGAGGAGGAGCGACGAGAGTGAGAGAGAGAAGAGAGAGAGGAGAGAGAGAGAGAGAGAGAGAGAGAGAGGGAGGAGATGAGAGAGAGAAAGGAGAAGAGAGGAAAGAGAGACAGAGAGAAGAACAGAGAGACAGAGAGACAGAGACAGAGACCAGGGGACAGAGAGAGAGACGAGAGACAGAGAGACAGAGAGAGAGAGACAGAGGACAGAGACCGAGAAATGGAGAGAGAGAGAGAGAGACAGAGACAGAGAGAACAGGAGATGAGAAGGAGAGAAGAGGGGGGCGAGAGGAAGGGGAGGAGAAGAGGAGGGGAACACACAAGAGAGGAGGATGGAGGGAGGGGAGAGAGGGCGGAGGGAGGGGAGAAGAGGGGCAGAAGGGGGAAGAGGGGAAGAGAAGGAGGCAGGGGGAGGGGGGGAAGAGAGGGAGTGGAAGAAGAGAGGGGGGAGGGGGGGAAGGGAAGAGGAGGGGGGGGGGGGGGGGGGGGGGGGGGGAGGTGAGGAGGAGGGGTAAGAAGAGAGGGAGGGAGTAGGAGGGGGGAGGGGGGGGAAGAGACCCGGGGTGAGGAGGAGGGGGGGGGTTTATAGAGAGGGAGGGAGGGGAGGGGGGGAAGAGAGGGAGGAGGGGGATAGAGAGGGAGGGAGGGCGGGGGAAGGAGAGGGAGGGAGTAGGGACGGGGGAAGAGAGGGAGGGAGGGGGGGGGAAGAGAGGGAGGGGGGGGGGAAGAGAGGGAGGGAGGGGGGGGGAAGGGAGGGGGGGGGGTGGGGGTGGGGGGGGTGGGGGAAGAGAGGGAGGGAAGGTGGCACAACTCAACCACTTTGGAATTTAGGTTAATGATGATCAACACAAGCTAATGTCAACATGACATGGTATGCGTCTAAAATGGCACCATATTCCCTATATAGTGCACTACCTTTGACCAGGGCCCAATATATAGGGGTTAGGGTGCCATTTGGGACAATCTAATGACACTCAGTGTCAAATCACACCCTATTCCCTATGTAGCACACTACTTTTGAACATGAGCCATGTAGGGTTAGCCATAAGTAGTGCACTACATAGGGAATAGGGTGCCATTTAAATGATGAAGCATGATAACCAGGGTAGAGTGCAGTTCTACATAGAAGAAACACACTTAATAGATTTAGAATCAAAACACTTCAAAATAATCATTTTAAATGTGTCCGTTTAAGATGCTTATTTTATGACAATGATTTCAATATGAAGTACATTATTCAAAATATTAATTATTCATTTTTTAAATGATGATTCCAATGGGCAGAATGCACTGAATCAAATTTCAAGCCTGGTATGCATTGTGGTGGTTAATGCATAGCTAGTGGATTACTAAGAATGGCAGGTTTTGAAGTTGTGTGGGGTCGACTTGCAGGGCATGTGATGCATCTGTTTATTCCCGAGAGAAGAGAACTGACAGTTGGAAAGGTAGACGAGAAATACAGTTGGAAAGGTAGAGAGAACATGACAGTTGGAAAGGTAGAGAGAAACTGACAGTTGGAAAGGGTAGAGAGAACGGACCCAGTGGAAAGGTAGAGAGAACTGACAGTTTGGAAAGGTAGTAGAGAGAACGACAGTTGGAAACTTGGAAAGCGTCGAGAGAACTGACAGTTGGAAAGGTAGAGAGATAGAGGAGAGAAAATAGAGAGAAACTGACAGTTGGAAAGGTAGAGAGAAACTGACAGTTGGAAAAGGTAGAGAGACTGACAGTTGGAACATCGGTAGAGAGAAACTGACATGTGGAAGTTAGAGATAGAGAGAACTGACAGTTGGAAAGGTAGTAGAGAGACACGACGTGGGAAAGAAGTAGAGGGAAACTGATCCCGGAAGGTAGAAGAGAACTGACAGTCGGACAGGTAGAGAGACACTGACAGTTGGAAAGTTAGAGAGAACTGAACAGTTTGGAAAAGGTTAGAGAGAAACTGACAGTTGGAAAGGTAGAGAGAGAGAGAACTGGACGTTGGAAAGGTAGAGAGAACATGAACAGTTGGAAAGGTAGAGAGAACACTTGACAGTTGGAAAGGTCCTAGAGAGAACTGACAGTTGGAAAGGAGAGAGGAACTGACAGTTGGAAAGGGAGAGCGAACTGGCACAGTTGGAAAGGTAGAGAGAGATTAGAGAGAACGACAGGGGAAAGGGTAGAGGAACTGACAGTTGGAAAGGTAGATGAGAACAAACTGACAGCAGTTGGAAAGGTCTAGAGAGAGAGAACTCGACAGTTGGGGAAAGGTAAGAGAGAACTGACAAGTTGGAAAGGTAGAGCGAACTGACAGTCGGAAAGGTAGAGAGAACGACAGTTGGAAAGGTAGAGAGAACGGACAGTTGGAAGGTAGAGAATTAGAGAGAAGAGAGAGAGAGAACTGACAGTTGGAAAGGTAGTTAGAGAGAACTGACAGTGGAAAGGTAGAAGAGAACGACAGTTTGGAAAAGGTAGTAGAGAGAACTGACAGTGGAAGTTTTAGAGAGAAACTGACGTTGGAAAGGCTAGAGAGTTAGAGGTAGAGGAGAGGAACTGACAGTTGGAAAGGGTTAGAGGAACTGACAGTTGCGAAAGGTAGAGAGAACTGACAGTTGGAAAGGTAGAGAGAACTGACAGTTGGAAAGGTAGAGAGAACTGACAGTTGGAAAGGTAGAGAGAACTGACAGTTGGCAGGGAGGAAAAACAGAGATGGCAGGGAGGGATAGTACTGTATCTTCTTAAAGATAAACGTAGAAGTGAAGGGAGGAAGAGAGTCTAATGGCTACAAGTAAGGGTGTGTGTGTGTGTGTGTGTATGTGTGTGTGTGTGTGTGTGTGTGTGTATCCATCCTCGCGTGTGTCAACCAGCCTGTCGTGTAGTCAGTAATCCTAGTCTACTAGGTGATCCAATCAGGCCTAAATCCCCACTGATGGATGATTTCCATGCCCAGGACGGCTCACCATGCCGGCCTGGGCCAACTGGAAAGCGGCTGGGGACTAAAACCTTGCAAGGAATAGCAGCCGGAGCTCTGTCTGTGTGTGTCTGTGTGTGTGTGTGTGTCTGTGTCTGTGTGTGTGTGTGTGTGTGGGGGTACCTGTCTTTGCCGTTCTGTACCCCCTGGCCCAGCGAAGCTCTCTCAGAGAGAGGAGAGTTTCTGCTGCGACCCGTACCACTCGACAATATGCTATTCTGTAGAGAGCGAGAGAGAGAGAGGGGGGTAGAGAGAGAGAGAGGGGGTGGGAGAGAGAGAGAGAGAGGGGGGGGGGGGAGAGAGAGGGGGGGGGGAGAAGAGAGAGGGGGGAGAGAGAGAGGGGGGAGAGAGGGGGGGGGAGAGGGGAGAGAGAGAGAGAGGGAGAGGACAGGGTATAACGGGTATAAAACAGTAAAAGACATCAATTGGAACACGCACCCATAATAATGGGGAGGGTGTGCGAGTGTGGTGGGGTGGGGGTGAGTGGGTGTGGAGGTGGGGTAGAGGGTGTAGGGCATTTTCTTCGGTCGGAGACCAGCGGACTGGCGAAACTTTGGCCGAGCAATGCCAGACCTTTCCTACAGGAATCCACCCCTTTATCACTTGGCCACGCCCTTGGAGAAGCCCTGAGAGAGACTGAGCGGTGAGAGAGTGGGAGGGGACGAGGGAGAGGGAGATGATAAGTACATAGGCACTATGCAATTTCATCCCGAAGCTTCATATCTAGGATAGCTCCCCTCCCAATCCGAGACTGCTTCTAGATCAGCTTCCCCTCCCCAACGAATCTCGGTTCATATCTAGGATCAGCTTCCCCTGCCCCCAATCGAATGGACTCAATCTAGGATCAGTCACCCCCAATCCGAACTGGATTAATAGTGAGATCAGTTCCCCTCCCAATCCGAGACTGGGTCAATCTGGATAGCTTCCACCCCCCAATCCGAAGGCTTCATATCTGATCAGCTTCCCCTCCCCCAATCCGAATGGCTTCATATCTAGGATCAGCTTCCCCTCCCCCAATCCGAACTAGCTTCATATCTAGGATCAGCTTCCCCTCCCCCAATCCGAACTAGCTTCATATCTAGGATCAGCTTCCCCTCCCCCAATCCGAACTAGCTTCATATCTAGGATCAGCTTCCCCTCCCCCAATCCGAATAGCTTCATATTAGGATCAGCTTCCCCTCCCCCAATCCGAAACTGGCTTCATATCTAGGATCAGCTTCCCCTCCCCCAATCCGAACTGCTTCATATCTAGGATCAGCTTCCCTCCCCAATCCGACTGGCTTCATATCTAGGATCAGCTTCCCTCCCCCAATCCGAAACTGGCTTCATATCTAGGATCAGCTTCCTCTCCCCCAATCCGAACTAGCTTCATATCTAGGATCAGCTTCCCCTCCCCCAATCCGAACTGGCTTCATATCTAGGATCAGCTTCCCTCCCCAATCCGAACTGGCTTCATATCTAGGATCAGCTTCCCCTCCCCCAATCCGAACTGGCTTCATATCTAGGATCAGCTTCCCTCCCCCAATCCGAACTAGCTTCATATCTAGGATCAGCTTCCCCTCCCCCAATCCGAATGGCTTCATATCTAGGATCAGCTTCCCTCCCCCAATCCGAACTGGCTTCATATCTAGGATCAGCTTCCCCTCCCCCAATCCGAACTGGCTTCATATCTAGGATCAGCTTCCCCTCCCCCAATCCGAACTTTAAAAAGGTCCAATACAGCAATAATTTTTTCTCGATATCAAATAATTTCTGGGTAACAGTGAAGTACCTTACTGTGATTGTTTTCAATTAAAACAGCCAAAAACAAACAACAAATAGCTTCTTAGCAAAATGCTATTTCTCAAGCAAGAATTTAGACTGTCTGGGATTGGTCAGAGAGAGCCTAATGGGAAGGATGTGTAACCTGAAAACCAGCTGTTATTGGCCGAGAGGAGGGCAAACACTTTGTTATTGGTCTATTAACTTATCCTGCCTGGTGATCAGAGTATGAGAGCGGAGTTGAGCAGTCGGAAATCCCACTCAACGCTCATGTCGTATTAAACAGCATAAAAACACTTTAAATAGGTCAGGAGCCAGACAGGGAGCCTAAGAAGGAACGAAAATGAATTATTTAGCCTATATTATTTCAAGGTTATACTCTACAAAGAAATGCATTGTGAAACATTTGTGAGTGCGACACACTAGGCTGGTAGGGAGTCCAGGGACATTAAGCGCTCAGCATTTAAACAACATTTAGTTGTTTTAAATCATTATAGTCTATAGATTGCGCCATATAGGCTGTGACTTAAGAGTTAAATACAATTTAAAAAAACGAAAAAATGCCTCAATCTCAGTGCCTTTGAATTCATTTTTAGAAACACCAGTTTGGCCTGAGTTCAGGCTCATGTCATGGTGACTGGAGTGCAGGCCAGCAGCGGAGAACATCCTCTCTGCGCTCGGAGAACATCCTCTCTGCGCTCGGAGAACATCCTCTCTGCGCTCGGAGGAGAACTCCTCTCTGCGCTCGGAGAACCATCCTCTCTGCGCTCGGAGAACATCCTCTCTGCGCTCGGAGAACATCCTCTCTGCGCTCGGAGAACATCCTCTCTGCGCTCGGAGAACATCCTCTCTGCGCTCGGAGAACATCCTCTCTGCGCTCGGAGAACATCCTCTCTGCGCTCGGAGAACATCCTCTCTGCGCTCGGAGAACATCCTCTCTGCGCTCGGAGAACATCCTCTCTGCGCTTGCAGAGTCACTGGGGATGCCACCCTTGCCAGGCTGGGCAGAGATGCAGTTTTTTTATATTTTTTATATAGGTAGGCCTAAAGGTTTTTAGGCAAAATAACCCAATCAAAACGGAAAGCTCTTCCTCCATTCACTTCTACTTCTCAGAGATGGGGCCAAACTCAATTATGGCCTATTGTATACATAATAGAACAAAAATGAAGGAAATGTTTAAGAGATCAGATATTTAGTTTATAAATACTTTGCTACAATGACACAGTTAGTTATCTACCCAGCTCCTTCCTTTCTTTTAGCGTGTGCACGTAGTAAGTACACCATCATGCTTTCGGGATACGTGTCTTTTCAGATTCCACAATGATTATTTAGTTGTGGACACTACATCACCGCACTCCCTCGCTTGCTCTTGGTCCTCATCTTTGTAAGTCACCTTGATTTAGCACCTGTGAGTTTTATTAGTTTCTTTAGGAATATATTTAGCCAACTCCATGACAGTAGCTAAAGCAAGGGGCTATTGGCAGCACACAAGTAGCCTACAGATGCATGCTGGGCCGGCGTGCCCTGAGCTCCTGAGGTGAGCCCTACTGGAGCGAAATTAGAGCGGGCGAGAAGAATCCCGCTCCAGTCAAACTGGGCTCCGCTCCCCGCTCCACTCCCCGCTCCACTCCCCGCTCCGCTCACATTCTCTGGTGATGTCGCCAGGCGGTCCCAAAAAAAAAATAAAAAAAAACACCCAGCCAAACATCTTCCACTAAAAGTGCATGATCAGAATTTTCACTATTTCAAAGTATTATTCCAACCTCATAGGGTGGAGATACATATAAAACACAGGAAAATCACGTTTTTGACTACATTGCCCCTTTAACCATTAGTGGGGGAAATGCTGAGCTGACCCAGGATCAGCATCTAGGGGAAACTTCACCACGCACCGGATTCATTATCTCATACTTCTTCCTCCCCTCCAATCAAACACACTTATCTCACCCTGGTCAGTGGCTCTGCGAGGTTTCTGGTTGGACGATACGCTGCGCTGCACCTTGCTGGGCGGGGAGGGGGCGTTACTGTTGGAGAGTTCATTTCCTGGGCGGGGCTTAATGATACCCTCATCCAGCTGGAGAACAGGAAAGGAGAGAATCCATCAGAGAGAGAGAGAAAGTGAGAGAGAGGAGACGAGGAGAGAGAGAGAGAGAGAGAGAGAGAGAGAGAGAGAGAGAGGAGAGAGAGAGAGAGGAGAGAGAAGAGAGAGAGACAGAGAGTTTGTGTAGTGTGTGTGTAGTGTGTGTGTGTGTGTGTACCTCGTGGTTTGTATAGTCCAGCAGTAGATATGTGGCCATGACTTCGTTGTATTTCTGGTTGACCAGCGAGTCCTGCACCTCCTCCATGGAGTAACCCATCTGAATCATGATCTCTACACACACATATTATTAGTATTATACAGTACATACAATGAAACAAATCTATGAGCGCTATTTGAGGCTGGTGTGCGTGTGTGGAGGGTGTTTCAGAGGGTGTGTACCTGTTCTCTTGGGGTCCTTGTAGTCAGGCATGGGTTCTATGTAAGGTTTTAACTCCTCCTCCTCATGACCCACATTCATCCATCTATCCTTCATTATCTGCTGCTGGGGGGAAGCGGGGAGGAGAGGAGAAGAGAGCAGAGGAGGAGAAGAGAGCAGAGGAGGAGAAGAGAGCAGAGGAGGAGGAGAGAGGAGGAGGGGAAGAGAGGAGGAAGAGAGCAGAGGAGGAGAGAGCAGAGGAGGGGAAGAGAGGAGAGGAGGAGAAGAGAGCAGAGGAGGAGAAGAGAGCAGAGGAGGAGAAGAGAGCAGAGGAGGAGAAGAGAGCAGAGGAGGGGAAGAGAGCAGAGGAGGAGAAGAGAGCAGAGGAGGAGAAGAGAGGAGGAGGAAGAGAGCAGAGGAGGAGAGAGCAGAGGAGAAGAAGAGAGCAGAAGAGGGGAAGAGAGGAGAAGAGAGCAGAGGAGGGGAAGAGAGCAGAGGAGGAGAAAGCAGAGGAGAAGAAGAGAGCAGAGGAGGAGAAGAGAGCAGAAGGGGGGAAGAGAGCAGAGGAGGAGAAGAGAGCAGAGGAGGGGAAGAGAGGAGGAGAAGAGGAGGGGGGAAGAGAGGAGGAGGAAGAGAGGAGGGGGGAGGAAGAGAGCAGAGGAGGAGAAGAGAGCAGAGGAGGGGAAGAGAGGAGGAGAATAGGGGAGGAGGAAGAGAGCAGAGGAGGGGAAGAGAGCAGAGGAGGGGAAGAGAGGAGGAGAAGAGGAGGGGGGAAGAGAGGAGGAGGAAGAGAGGAGGGGGGAAGAGAGCAGAGGAGGAGAAGAGAGCAGAGGAGGAGAAGAGAGCAGAGGAGGAGAAGAGAGCAGAGGAGGAGAAGAGAGCAGAGGAGGAGAAGAGAGCAGAGGAGAAGAAGAGAGCAGAGGAGGGGAAGAGAGGAGGGGGAAGAGAGGAGGGGGAAGAGAGGAGGGAGAAGAGAGGAAGAGAGGAGGGGGAGAGAAGAGAGGAGGAAGAGAGGAGGGGGAAGAGAGGAGAAGAGAGGAGGGGGGAAGAGAGGAGGGGGGGGGGAGGAGGAGGGGGGGGAAGAGAGGAGGGGGGGGAAGAGAGGAAAGGGTGTGATTAAGAAAAGGAGGAGAGGAGAACAGAGAGAGGAATAGTGGTTAGCAAGAGTGACAACTGTAGTTAACGCAAAGAAAATAGGAAGTATTTAGATATTCAGGTTAGGAAACACTTTATAGCCAGGTGACATGTCAGGGGTCAAAGGTGAGGGGTCACAGAGGTCAGGGGTTAAAGGTGACTGACGGACCTCCAGGCTGCCTCTCTTGGTGGGGTTGAGGATCAGGAACTTCTTCAGTAGGTTCTCACAGTCTGTAGACATGTAGAACGGGATACGGTACTTCCCCCTCAACACGCGCTCTCTCAACTCCTATAGGGGGAGACAGAGAGGAGAGGTTAGAGGTCAGTCTGTAGACATGTAGAAAGGGATACGGTACTTCCCCCTCAACACGCGCTCTCTCAACTCCTATAGGGGGAGACAGAGAGGAGAGGTTAGAGGTCAGTCTGTAGACATGTAGAACGGGATACGGTACTTCCCCCTCAACACGCGCTCTCTCAACTCCTATAGGGGGAGACAGAGAGGAGAGGTTAGAGGTCAGTCTGTAGACATGTAGAACGGGATACGGGTACTTCCCCCTCAACACGCGCTCTCTCAACTCCTATAGGGGGAGACAGAGAGGAGAGGTTAGAGGTCAGTCTGTAGACATGTAGAACGGGATACGGTACTTCCCCCTCAACACGCGCTCTCTCAACTCCTATAGGGGGAGACAGAGAGGAGAGGTTAGAGGTCAGTCTGTAGACATGTAGAACGGGATAAGGTATTTCCATAGAGATAGATAGAGGACTCATCTTTGTATCTGTGCCATTATAGCATCTGTGACAGCATGGGCAGCACCATTGAGGCTATTTTCTTCTTCCCGATTGGCTGATCCCTCCTGATGACACGGTTGGACATGACTCCAACAGGGTCACCAGGAGGGATAGGCCAATGAAGTTGGAAGTGCCTCCCAGTTGACTACGTTAAAATGGTGGAAGCCCTCAATGGCGCTGGACATGCCGATACTGCCTTTTGGTCACTAGAGGCCTCTATCAATCTCTAGGTGATTTCCCCCCTCAACACATGCTCTCTCAACTCCTATAGGGGGAGACAGAGAATAGCGATTAGGTGTTAGAGGTCAGGTGTTAAGGGTCAGGTGTTAAGGGTTATAGGTCGGTCTGTAGAACAGAATACAGTCGTTACAAATCTCAAGATCTCACATACCTCTCTCTCTCACACACCTCTCTCCATCACTATTTCACACACCTCTCTAGGTCACCAACTCACCCACCCACCTGCCCCTCCATCTCCCCACACACACCTTGAGGTTCTGTCCATCGAAGGGCAGCGACCCTGACACTAGGGTATATAGGATGACCCCCAGACTCCAGACGTCCACCTCTGGTCCGTCGTACTTCTTCCCCTGAAACAGCTCCGGGGCGGCGTAGGGAGGAGAGCCACAGAACGTGTCCAACTTACTGCCCATTACAAACTCATTACTGAAGCCAAAGTCTGCTATCTTGATGTTCATGTCAGCGTCCAGGAGTAGATTCTCAGCCTGGTAGGGAGAGAGGAGAGGGAGGAGGGAAGAGGGGAGACAGATGCACTCAGTAACCTTTCTATTCTCTCATTCCCTCTGCAAAGTTTGTTTGCTATTTTCTAAAAAGGAAGTGAGTCCAAACATCAAACAAAGAGCAGATAAGGTCCCCGTTAGCCTGGTCCCCGTTAGCCTGGTCCCCGTTAGCCTGGTCCCCGTTAGCCTGGTCCCCGTTAGCCTGGTCCCCGTTAGCCTGGTCCCCGTTAGCCTGGTCCCCGATCCGTTTATTGTCCCCCATGATGAAATCGGGGAGGGGACAGTGGATCGGTCACACGCAAAATCTCAGACAGCACTGGCCTGATTTAGCTAAACTTGGGTGAACGATGTGTCTTGTCACAGAGATCCGGCATTTACAAAATGACACTGACTGGCCCAAGGCAGGAGCTTTAGTACTTAACTGAAATGTGTGAGTCACACCAGAGAGGTGAAGCCAGAGAGATAACCGGGTCTTCTCCAGCAGGTAATCAACTTTTCATATTGGCCCGTTTGGGCCAGTACATTTTCAAACTCCTTTTTTCCATATCAGACACAGCAATGTCATTATTAGCAAAGAAAGATACATAGGCCTACACTATGGCGTTGCTTGCTTGTCAAGACATGAACATTATTTACACAAATCACTTGTTGGTTAAATAAAAAATGAATATTGTAATAATTATATTCTGTAGTCTAGGCCTATATCACTGTTTAAAAAAACAGATTTTTAATTCCCGAAGCTGTTTATGAGCTATGTCACTGCGCAACATTTCTAAATGCAACCTCTGGAAAATACAACAGTTTTGATGGCAATTATTGAACAGTGGGGGATCCCAGCTTTCCAGTGCTGATTTATTTCTCAACTCCAATTTTTGTGCAATTGGCAACGTTTACAATCTTGAGTGTCTGGCATAACAATAAGCCGCCACTTGAGTATCTGGTCAATATAATGGATCATCTGTAGTCACACGATAACTGACATTTGTTAGTCACACCCAATATCTCAATTGGCCCAGGGGAGTCTGGTCCCAGATCTGTTTGTTGCCAGTTAGCCTGGCCCCAGATCTGTTTGTTACCAGTTAGCCTGGCCCCAGATCTGTTTGTTGCCAGTTAGCCTGGCCCCAGATCTGTTTGTTACCAGTTAGCCTGGCCCCAGATCTGTTTGTTACCAGTTAGCCTGGCCCCAGATCTGTTTGTTACCAGTTAGCCTGGCCCCAGATCTGTTTGTTACCAGTTAGCCTGGCCCCAGATCTGTTTGTGCTCTGGCCAGTTAGCCTGGCCCCAGATCTGTTTGTTGCCAGTTAGCCTGGCCCCAGATCTGTTTGTTGCCAGTTAGCCTGGCCCCAGATCTGTTTGTTACCAGTTAGCCTGGCCCCAGATCTGTTTGTGCTCTTGCCAGTTAGCCTGGCCCCAGATCAGTTTGTGCTCTTTCCAACTCTCCACTGCTGTCATACTCAAGCTAAACATGACTGTGCCATCATGACTATATCAACTCCTTGTCACTCCTTGTCAAGTCGAACAGACTGGCACTCAGTAGGAAATGGACTAGCGTATTCTAGCCTCTGATATAGGGTCAGATATTAAGATTCCCATAGTGATTAGGGTTAAGACAGGGACTAAAGTAACCTGATCCTAGATCTGTGGTTAAGACTGACTACAACCCAGAGCATTATAACTTTTAACTATACATGGCTGTGTTGCCTAGCAACAGGTAGGCGATCTTGGAGCTGACGCTCTGACGCAGTGTGAAATAGAACACGATGACATCATCAGACAAGAGACAACTTTGAACACACGGATACCTATGGGTGAGTAACTGTTCGGACCCTATGTAAGGTCATGGTTAAAGCTCTTCAGTGCATGGCATCAGCCTGTAGCCCTGGCTCGTAGCTACAAACTCAGCGGAGCTTTAGGGTTAGGGTGCGTAACAGTGAAATAACGCATTGTGTGTGTGTGTGTGTGTGTAAAGGTTAACAGGTCAGCTGGGTGACTGATCGGTCTCTGGGACAATGAGGGAGGGAGACATTTATAGAGCCGGGACTTGGTCAAAGAGACATCTAGCGCACACACACACACAGTTATGCTATAGTGGGTAGTGTCTCACCTTTAGATCTCTGTGGACAATACACTTCTGGTGACAGTACTGGACTGCTGATACAATCTATACAGGGAGGGAGAGATGGAGAGAAGGAGGGAGAGAATGATTGAGAATGGGGAGGAGGAAAGAACAAGTGAGAGAAAGAGAAGGGAGCAAATAAATTCAAATTTCTCTCATTCACACACACACACACACACCACACACGCTCCTCACCTGTCTGAATTTGGCACGCGCCTCCTTTTCCTTCATCCTCCCGTGAGCGACCAGGTAATCAAACACCTCCCCTGGAGGACAGAGGAGAGGAAGAGAAACAGTCACAGAAAGGTAACGGTTCTTTAGTTCACCAGAAGGCATATGAAGGCTACATAGCTATTAAATAGTGAAACACTATTTTAGGGTGCAAGAGGGAATAATGACTTGACCGTCGCACGACACATACACATAACAGGGGAAATGACTTAACCGTTGCACACAGATGATTCAGGGGAAGTATTTGACGGGGGCACACACTCACCTCCACTGGCATACTCCATGACCAGGTACAATGTCTTCTCCGTCTCGATCACCTCAAATAACTTCACTGTTGAAGGGAGATGGGTGGAGGGAAGGAAGGAGGGAGAGGGAAGAAGGGAGAGGGAGGGAAGGAAGGAGGGAGAGGGAAGAAGGAGGGAGAGGGAAGAAGGAGGGAGAGGGAGGGAAGGAAGGAAGGAGGGAGAGGGAGGGAGGGAGGGGGAGGGAGGGAGAGGGAATGAGGAGGGAGAGGGAAGAAGGGAGAGGGAGGGGAAGGAAGGAGGGACGAGGGAAGAAGGAGGGAGGAGGGAGGGAGGGAAGGAAGGAAGGAGGGAGAGGGAGGGAGGGAGGGATTGAGGGAGGGGGAGGGAAGGAAGGAGGGAGAGGGAAAGAAGGAGGGAGAGGGAGGGAAGGAAGGAAGGAGGGAGAGGGAGGGAGGGAGGGATTGAGGGAGGGGGAGGGAAGGAAGGAGGGAGAGGGAAGAAGGGGAGAGGGAGGGAAGGAAGGAGGGAGAGGGAAGAAGGAGGGAGAGGGAGGGAAGGAAGGAAGGAGGGAGGGAGAGAGGGATCGAGGGAGGGGGAGGGAAGGAAGGAGGGAGAGGGAGGAAGGAAGGAGGGGGAGGGAAGGAGGGAGAGGGAGGGAAGGATAAAGAGGGAGGGAGGGAAGGAAGGACGGAGAGGGAAGGAGGGAGAGGGAGGGAAGGAAGGACGGAGAGGGAAGGAGGGAGAGGGAGGGAAGGAAGGACGGAGAGGGAAGGAGGGAGAGGGAGGGAAGGAAGGACGGAGAGGGAGGGAAGGAAGGAAGGAGGGAGGGGGGAGAGTAGAGGGAGAAAAAACTATAAATATTTAGATTCAATCACCTATAGTAGCATACCTTTGTTCAGATTCTTTAGCGTGTGTTGAGTTCATTGACCAGAAATGTATTCTTGATTCAGATTCACTTGTCTATGATGGGATGACAAATGATTCGGAGTCAACTCACCTATGTTAGGATGATTCAACAGCTTCATGATTCTCACTTCCCGGAAGAGCTGAAGAGGACAGAGAAGATAGTCAGCACTGTGTGTGTGCCTTACTCTGCTACAGGGGATCCCAGAAGAAGTGTGTGTGTGTCAGTGTGTGGACCAGCCCCTGTGTGTGTATATATACAGCTGAAGTCAGAAGTTTACAGACACTTAGGCTGGAGTCATTAAAACTCGTTTTTTAACCACTCCACAAAATGTATTTTTAGCAAACTATAGTTTTGGCAAGTCGGTTAGGACATCTACTTTGTGCATGACAAGTAGTTTTTCCAACAATTGTTTACAGACAGATTATTTCACTTATAATTCACTGTATCACAATTCCAGTGGGTCAGAAGTTGACTGTGCCTTTAAACAGCTTGGAAAATTCCAGAAAATGATGTCATGGCTTTAGAAGCCTAAGTGTATGTAAACTTCCAACTTCAACTGTATGTTCTAAAATGTTTGACCGGTAGTGTATATATACAGTACCAGTCAAAAGTTTGGACACACCTACTCATTCAAGGGTTTTTCTTTATTTTTACTATTTTCTACATTGTAGAATAATAGTGAAGACATCAAACCTATGAAATAACACATATGGAATAATGTAATAACCAAAAAAGTGTTAAACAAATCAAAATATATTTTATATTTGAGATTCTTCAAATAGCCACCCTCTGCCTTGATGAAAAATGTATGCACTCACTAACTGTAAGTCGCTCTGGATAAGAGCGTCTGCTAAATGACTAAAATGTAAATGTAAATGACAGCTTTGCACACCTTTGGCATTCTCTCAACCAGCTTCACCTGGAATGCTTTTCCAACAGTCTTGAAAGAGTTCCCACATATGCTGAGCACTTGTTGGCTGCTTTTCCTTCACTCTGCGGTCCGACTCATCCCAAACCATCTAATTTGGGTTGAGGTCGGGGGATTGTGGAGGCCAGGTCATCTGATGCAGCACTCCATCACTCTCCTTCTTGGTAAAATAGCTCTTACACAGCCTGGAGGTGTGTTGGGTCATTGTCCTGCTGAAAAACAAATGATGGTCCCACTAAGCCCAAACCAGATGGGATGGCATATCGCTGCAGAATGCTGTGGTAGCCATGCTGGTTAAGTGTGCCTTGAATTCTAAATATATCACAGACAGTGTCACCAGCAAAGCACCCCCACACCATAACACCTCCTCCTC